TTGTCACAGTTGGATTCAGCCACGGACTTGATCCAATCTCATTTTTCATAAATGGGGTGATCGATGGAGTTCCTATATTTTTATCGGTACTAAAAAGTCTAAATTGGCCTCTCCTATAGTTCTATGAAACAGGGCTGCAACAAAAGCAAATCACATAGGCTAATAGGCGTACCATATTGAGTCCATACCCATTGAAGTTTCGAAATCAAACACTTGCCCCTTTTTTGTTTTGTTTTTCTTTTTCTTTTCTTTTTTTTCTAATTTGGATCCTCTTCTAAAACATCTATCCCATATTTCCCCTACTTGGATCCAAAGAATGTAAAGAGACGAAATCATCGTAAATCACTTTAAAGCATTACATTGATTTGGTCAAATGGCAGCCCAACATGTTTTGGACAAAATTGTAGTGGAAAGAAAATAATATTTATATAGATTGAGCAGGTTGTAATAAATGAAATCAGAGTTAATTTTTAGTCGAAAAAAGGAATATGCAAAAGTCCACGTGGGTCATGCCATGTAAGACGCTAATTTATAAGACGGAGTGATTATGACATCCTACATCCTCCGAGGGAGAAATTCCTAACATTTATATAAGTGGATACTCATTAACTGTGTAAAATCATGAATACTGAAGTGTGGAAAATATACAATATCCGCACGAATTGAAGTGGATCATGACAAATGTTTATTTATCAGATTACAAGAGAAATGGAGGTCAAGATTGAATGGCAAAGAGAGAGTGAATTGTTCTTCGATGGAAAGAATATTCATGAGTATTGACGGTGAATTAGAGAATGAAATTTAAGATTCTTCTTGTGAACAAGAGAGAAGAGAGAGTGGGGAGAGATTAAAAAAAAAGGGGGAGGGGAAGTTTCAGGAAGAGTGTGAGGAGCATGGATCCTATGATCATGTAATAATTATTTTATATATTAGAACAAATATTTTTTCTTTTTGGGGATTAAAAAAAGGAAGAAGCTAATCCAGAACTTTCATTTAAAAAACATTTAGTTCCCGTCTAGAATCATCATTCATTGCTTGAGCGACAATGTATGACCTATCAGTCATGTGGTTGATTAAGAACCCTGTTGGGTCCTTAGGCTGCAGGGATATCTAAGAATTGGAATTCATCACATATAAAGTAACTTGGAACATAAAAATGTTAGTAAAGGCAAACATTTGGAATAAAACCTATATATCCTTTTAACACAACTTAACCGAGGAAGTAAACCCTTTGAGAAACAAGATTGAAAGAATGGGGTTCCTTTGTCTTCATTGTGGAGGAAAAAGAGTTATTGTTTGATTTTATGTCTATCTGGCTTCCTCCATATGTCATGGACTCATGGGTTGCCAAACAAGCACCCACACCAACTACTTTATCTTTTAAAATCCCACTTCTTGATCCTCAAAATCAAAACATTTCATTTCATTGGCCTAGAAGATGCCTAAGGTCCTCACATCTTGGCATCTCCATTCACTAAATTAAAGTACTACTTTATGTTTGATGTTTTAAAAAAAAGACTTCCCATTAGTAATTGTCTCATCTTTAACAAACATGATTATCCTTACTTATTTTGTAGAAATGGGTTGACAACAACTATCATCTCCATCAAAGCTAGGTACCAAATGCATATATGTTTCTTGTGTTCCCTTCCTCTAGTCTTAACTCATCAAATTCTAACTATAGCCTCAACACTAGTAGGGTACCCACACTTTCAATCATCTTATCCTAGTTAATAGGGCATATGTAGAAATTAAGTTGTCTGCATAATTATAATAATAAATAAATAAAGGAGTCTGGAAAAGTCGGATGTACGATTATTCATCCAATTATATGTTATAATAGGAACATGATAATGGGCCGCCTAAACAGTGCATATATACCCCATAGATTCATATTATGAGATAAGATGAGAGTACAGAAAAATATAAAGCTAGAAGAATATCTGCTTTGCCAGGCCAAAAAAAGGAAAAAGAAGCAGCCTACAAGTTTATATACTTTGAGTAACTTCAAAAGATAATTAAAAAACAATAAGTCAATTTATTTTCTATAGAGCTGTTCTATTTCATGACAGTATTATTGCAATGTATTTCACACCACTTTTTTTGCATAATAATTTTCTTCATACTAATTTAGAATTTTGTTTTGATTTTTTAGCTTTTATTTTCAACCCAGTGATTATGCTATTTTCTTTAGTGACCTATTCCCTTCAAATGAAAACAATATGTTTTAATTTGAGAAATAATATATGATCAACCAACTGATTTTTTACTTATCATTGGACGGGACTGTTAGTATTTAGACCTTATGCCAAATTTCTGTGTGTCAGTTGAGACAAGAAGAAGATGATGTTTTCTTTGGTGTATGACAACAAAATTAAAGAATGTCCCCCACTATCACAGAAATCTAATAACATTTTAGATGGAAATGGTTTTTGTGTCTACTTATTTTTGTCACGTCTTTATCTACTACTATACATAACCAGTGTATATATATAATAAAGCATAATTAATCACGATGAGTCAGTCTCTTTCTCATATAGTCTTTTTAGCTGCCCAAATCTAACTATATATTTTGATATGAAAAATGATACTAAAAGATACAAATCTGTATTAACGGTTACTATCACTGCCGACTGAATGTTTAAAATTAATTTAAATACTTTTTAGATAAAAGAAACTGTATCTTTATTCATTATCGACCAAAGGAGCTTGTTAAATACAGTGATTGGTGATTAGAGACCCGCCAAAAAAAAATAGCTGGTTAAGTACAGCGTTACGCACTCGATATAGATTGTAGTCACACACACACACGCACGCACGCATAGCAGTCACGAATTTGCGAGTAGAAAGAAGTAAACTGGATCCAAAACAAAAGCATTAATTGACAAATGAAAGCAGTAGCAGGAGGTTATATGAGTGATTACATTCAATAAAGGCGCACCTTCATCGAGCTCCCACTAGCAGAAAGATTCCGTGCAGCTGGCTGGCTCGATCTTTGGATTTGACCAGGACTACACATTAACTACTACTAGATCTCTGTCATTTAAGTCACAAATTGCATGATTTGAGTATTCATTTATGAGAGTTAATTAAGAGAAGGTGACTTTTTGGGCCAAGGAGAGAGAGATAAGGTGACGTGGGAGAATCAACATTGTGGTTGTTGTTGGGTAATTTCATAACATTTATTTTGACGTCCTAAAAAAATCACTAATTAAAGTGTCAAAAATGATAAAATTATGGTTCGAATTTTAAAATATGGTGGGATGTTTGATTGGAAAAAACACTTAATTACACACAGGTTGTAGTAATAACATAATATCACCAATTTATTAAATATTGATACGTAGTGATAAAACTATTAAAAATAAAACACACTTATGTGATGGGATACAATTAATTAATGACATAAATAAACAATGTATTAAAAATACAAGAAAATATTTCTCGGGTTAATTGAAACATTAAAAGAGGAGAAGAAGTCAATCTCCAAAATATCAATTCAATATTCGAACATCATAGCATTACTATGTGACATAGCACTTTTGTGTCCAGTTCAATCCATGCATTATTTCTATTTTAGATTTTATCAGCAAAGGAGAGGGAGGGGGGACTGGAAGCCCTAACAACTAAGACATTGAATGATGATGCCTAGAGAAGGAAAAAATCAAAGGTCCCCTAATCCAGTAGTATGATCTTTTCCTTCCAAATGGTGAAATTGAGAGTTTGAGTCCTACGAGGGACACGTACGGGGAAGGGGGACTTGAACACCGTCATATTCGTTTGAAGAGTTGGGCACTCTAACAACTAAGACACTGAATGATGCCTAGAGAAGGAAGAAATCAAAGGTCCTCTAGATCAATGGTGTAATTTTTTCCCTTCAAAGGGTGAAATTGAGAGTTCGAGTCCTACGAGGGACATGTAAAATTTTCTTAAATTGTTCCGCCAACCCTTAAAACATTTGAAAAACGTATTCAAAGAAAAATTACAAAATTCGATCAATCATATACTTCATCAAGGGTTGTAGTCCAGTGCTGTCTCACTCTACCACTTTAGAAAGAAAAAATTAAAAATTAAAAAAAAAAAATTACCCTTCGTGTTTAACACTCAAACAATTTCACTCCAAAGTGAACTCTAGAATTTTTTTCACAAAATTACTCTATTAAATTTTACTTTTTCTATCCAGTAACTAAAAAATAAATAAATAAAAGCATAAAAAAACAAAGATGTTAAATTTTCTTATCTTCCCACTTACTGAACAGTTATTTATTTTTTTTATTTTTTTATGTTGCAGGTGCAAACATAAAATGCATTGACAGAGAAGGGTACCGTGTTTAATGAAAAAAATAAATAAATATAATTGTATCTGTCACCAACCCTCCTTCAAGTTTGTTTGCAAGATCGTAACTACAGTATTATAACACACATCAACTCGAATGGTGAAGAAGGATCAATTTACTGGCAATCCCATTTAATTGAGAGGTAGAGAGAGGCGACTTAAATAGTGGCATTGAAAGAGAAGCCAAAGTTTCGATGTAGTAATCGATTGCAAAAAACTATAACAGTACTCACCATTAAAGCCCATTCAACCAACTGTCTCAAACTTTTTTTATTACATACACACACAATTTTCAAACTTATATCTTTTCCCACCAAGAGAACCACTTTACATTTACATCCCAAAGGCCAATTAAGATTTTGACCAGACTCTTAAGTCCTAGGGACTGGTTCATTCATGCGCACTTTTTCAATCTAAGCTTCTCTATTTTGCGAATAAATATTGAGTGTGCTGTATGCCTAGTGCATCGTGTACCAAATTTATTCGAACAGTGAATATTATGTATGTATGAACATGTATTATACACGTATTATTATGATAAGTTCGATACACAGTGCGCTAGACGCATTCAATACATTCTCCCACTGTCAAGGCCACACTATTTAAAATCATCATGGATAGTCATCCCATAATATCTTTTTTTTCATTCCCATCAACATCACACTTTTATAATACATATTTAGCCCACTACTAAAAGCCCCTTACATATCATATGCCCCCAACATATACATTTTTCAAAAACTGAAACCACTAAAGAGGAATGACCAAATGCCAAAAGGCTCGTTACTGGAAGTTTCAGTTGGACAATTCTGACTGATTTGATGCATTGTGACAACATCATAAGACGTCAACCATTACTTTGAGTTGTCCGACTCTCAAACTCTAACTCCAAATGATTTTTCAAACCAAAATAAAGAAAGCAATTTCTTTTAGACAACACAAAACATGTCTCGACACACAAGAACATGCATCATGTCTGTCATATATCTGATAAATGCTTGACTTCTAAGATCAAATGAAAGGATCTAAATGACTCTTAACTGAAAAAACTCCATTCCAAATCTCAGTGAAAGCTCGAAGGATGATTCCATGGTGGCAAGGGGAATTGAGCTGCAAGAAACAGTTGAGAAGCTCGCGTAGATCATCCTTGGAATAAATCTCCTTCTCCAAAATCATCTGAAGCATCGAACGCCGGAAATCAACATAAGGGTCATCGGAGTCTTTCTCCACGGCCAAGCTCTCGCCGCCAATCCTGCCGAAGCCTTGAACAGCTCTCAAGCTCTTTATATCGGACTCATCGTCCACGTAGTCGACGCACAAGGAGCTATCTGTGTTGAAAGAGACTGTAGCAGTGGTGGTGGTGGTTTCGTCTTCATCTTCGTCGGCACAGTGGACACCAATTTTGTCCCATGAGGTTGAAGAAGAGTGATAGAGAGTGTTTTTTCTGTAAGTGGGTGGTTTGTGTTTTGGTTTTGGGTGGAATATGTCGAACAGTCTTGGCCTTCTACAACCACAACCTAGGCTTACACTCACTGTGTTGAGATAGAGCTTCTTCCTGTTGCCGCTGGACATTTTAGAGAGAGAGAGGGAGAGGAGAGAGAGAGGGGGGTTTCTTCAAAGTGATTCATTTGACTTGTGATGGGGTGTGGAGTCTCTCTATAAATTATGCATGTGAGCATGAGGGTCCCTTGTTGAATGCTAATGTTACAGCTCTTTGAAACATTAACACATCACAGCCTTATCTGGAGTTCAAGTAAGTACTACTGGACTTATCTGAAATTAAACTCCAAATATACACCAGTTTTAAAATGAGAAAAATATCACTCATAAAAGGAATATAATTATAATCACTCTTATTGTTATGCTAATTAAGTTTGAGAATAGGTCTTATGTATTTGAATTTTGAATTGGACCTCACTTGTAATTAAAATGAATTAAATTCATACTATATTGGGTTACATAGAATTGATACTCTAAAATTGAAAAAAAAAATAAATAAATAAGTTGTTTAAAGTTTAAACTATGGTATAATCATCAAATAATTATGATAACGCTAACTTTTGTTATTGAGTAGGTACTGTTTGGCATTTGTTATTAAAGATGAGGGAAGCTGCTCCGCGAGTGATGCTACTAACTACTTCAATTTTTGTGCATTTCGCAAATGGCAATAATCAAAGATATAAAAATAAGATGATTAGATAGTGTTACCTAAAAGGAAGAATAAAAAATATAAATGAAAAATATAAAAATTAGGAAACTGACATAACAGTAGGTATGATGAACTAGGGATCATAAAATATACTCAGCCACTTGATTTGTCACCAGCAGCTCAGATCCTAAGATTATGATGATAAATACTAGGATTATAATATTGACGAGTATTATATTAAATCTACTTTGGATGAAACGACTGTTAAATCATATGATAATAATTGGTATGCCTTTTGTTTTCTACTATTTTTACTATAATTGGTCAAATTTATAAATCATCCCAATCCAAGAAACATCCAAAGTTTCACAAATAATGAGATTATTTGCAATTAATTAAGATAAAATAGGAATAATAATGTAAATAATATTTTAAAATAAATTCACAATAATTAATTGAAAATGATAAGACGAAGAATTAATTCTGTTGTAAAAAAATTATAAAGCATTTAAGAAGTATATAATACTATAGTATTATGGTATGTGGGGCTAGAGGCAGTATTTCCAGTTTGGTGCCCCAGGGGGCTCCGTAAGGGTCTTGTCTTGGGAAGTTCTGGGTTATCAAAAAAGAAAAAAAAAAAAAAAAAAGTATATAATACTAGAATAGTGAATAAGAGTTGTACATATTTGATGAGAAAGTTATATACGTAGTATAACTTAACAATTTGAAAATAACTTTAAAAATCTCATCAAATTAAATCATATGAATATATCACAATTGATTCAATGACTATACCTAAACCAGGAACATGAATATATTACTACAATTGATTCAATGGACTATACTCAAATCAGGAACTTGCACCAAAATCTGACTCAATGTATTATTTTAACGTGTCCACGTACCTCTTCATTCCTTTTAATCAGATCCTCCTCACAGAAAAGTGTTGTAATGTATTTGATGGTCTATATCACACACACACGTCCAGAAAAGTGTTGTAATGCATTTGATGGCCTATATCACACACATGTCCACATCACACGCACACACGTGTACTCGATCACATGTGAGCGAATGATACCGTCGGATGCAATACACTTGATCCCAACTCGATATATAATATGTTGTGACAGAATTTGACCCGGGGTACATTGAAAACTTAGGCCAGAAATCACGCTCAATACAGGCCAACACGAACCAATCCTCTGTCAAGGATTATGTGATTCTGCTAGTAGTTTTGGTTTTTCCTGTTTGGACCTTATACTATACTAACTATATTTGTTAATCAATAATTTTATTATTGCCCATTTCACCCCGTTAAGCACTAACATAAAGCAGGTCCTCCAGATATTTTTGGGAATACCCAGGGTCTAGTTGGTAGAGCCTAGTGTACCCGTGTTAGAGTTCCCCTTTGTACAAAAAATAATAATAACGCAATTAAAAAAAAAAAAATTGATATTTTCCTCTTTTCGTACCTACATAATTTATGGTAAGGATAGACTTGAGAAGGACCTAAGTATTACCATTAAGAACCGCCAATATAATTAAAATAATTACAATACTATTTTGAAAAATAGGCTTGCTCATCTTTATTGTGTAACAACAGACTTTAACCCAACTGTTAAATTAGGCTAATGAACAAGACAATCTAATGCGAATAGCCTTGGCTTAAGATTCACCAAGTATATACATGAACACACCTAGCTAAGCTTTGGCGAAGCTTGGGTCTGTCTCAAACTCTATCCATGCTTCAAGAAGATCAACCACTACATAATTGAAAACATAAGAAATATATTAAAGAAAATAAAGAAAAACAAGAAATTGATTTAGACAGATTAATATGAAGCCATGTTTTTTAAAATCCTATGGAACACTATGTCATTCTATTTACCCGTAACATCTAAAAGCACAACAAATCCAACCCGGGAAGGATGTCCAGAATACGATGATCATGAAAGTGTTCCCAAATTTCACAATCTTGACTACTGACTAGACATGGGCATCATCTTCTAAAGTGATATTCCAGTGGAAATTGGATTCTACTCAAAATTGCCATCGAAAACATAACTCAGTAATTCCTATTTCCAGAGATTTCCACAAACTATATTTCCCTTCTCATCATCAAATTATGTTTTGTACAGTTTCACCCAGGATGACCATGGTGCAAATGACTATAAACTCATCATACTTACCATTTAAAATTCGACGACTTTGACAAATCTGATCCATGACCCTTGTGATCTCTGAGCATGATCTTTGTGCCCTAAGTGTAGTCTGTACATCATGAGTAAAACAAATATAGATGTATAATTGATACAAAAAAAGTATAGCCAATGATTGTTAAATGTCATATTTGGAATGAAAAAATGTTTGATGACGCGGTAATCTACAAATTTGTCCACAAATATTTACTCACAATCATACCACCAAAATGATAATAAATAAACTGTACCACAGGATCACCTTATAAAGAGAGTTGAGAAGATGACGACAACGACGACGATGATAATAATAATAATAATAATAACTCATTCAAATGCCATAGAAGCAATATAAGTTCATCTCAAATGTCATAAAATCAGAATGGAGTAGTTCGATTCCCTCTTCTGCCCAACCTCCAGTGACATATCTCAATTCTCAAACCATTCCTAAATATTCTCAACAATGCAAATTCCTAAACAATTTTGAAAATTGATGAATTATTTTCGATAATTTTTCACACACATCTTTCTTATTTTCTCAACGTGCAAACTTTTTCTTACTTGAAACTTCCATCTTGGACCTTATCCAAATTATTCCTGAGAATTTATGAATAACACTCAAATTCATCTCGGAGTCTGTCACTGTGATTAAATACTTTCCCCCACTCACCCCCTCCACACCTCCCTCCTCAAAAACACTAGGTAATTACCAAAAAAAAAAAAAAAAACTTCAAAAGTAGTGGTCTGAAGTTTGACCTCACTGGCTTGAACTTGATATTTGGTTCTTGATCAAGCCTGCTACATGCTCAGCAACCCATAATGAACCAGCCTCAGTGCAACAGAAAGCATGAGTGTGGCCCTCCCTTTCAATAGCTATAGTAGCATCTGGGACATGCTTGGAAATCTGTGAGAACAGAAGTTTGTCAATGTATAATATCAGATGCTCAAATTGAAGAATGCCAGAAGAAATTTGGAGAACAGAAAAAAAAAGAAAAGAAAAAGAAAACATAGCTTGACAAGATCAACATCATTAAGCAAACATTATTTCCACAGAATGATTTCTTTCAGAATTGACCCCACATTCTCATGCTTGGCAACTGTTTCAATTAACAAGAACCACACTAGATATTGACCTTTTTAAATTGCTACGATAAGGACTGTTGTTCAGTCCTTAATTAGTAGGGATGGGACAAAAATATATATATATATATATATATATATATATATATATATATATATATTGAAAAGGAGCCCCTTCTCCCTCCACCCGTCACCCCTTGCCTGCCTAAGGAAACTCTCCTTTGCCGCTACCCCACTCCGTTACCATAAGACAAGATATATTTTACAATATATATGTATATATAGGGGTATTCGATGAAATATATCACAATATAAATATATATTACAATATATTTGTATATATATCATGGTATCTATTATAACATATTATAACAGTGGGGAATTTATGTAATTTAACTACATTTGGGGCTGGCTGGGGTGGGACCTTGACCCCAAACCACTATCCAAACCTGAGTCGGGTTTCAGACTCCTTTCCACGGGTAAATTTGTCATATCCCTATTAAAGTATCTCTAAGGTGTCTGGAGTCATTAACATTATCATGTTTAGCCATTGCACCCCATCAAGGGTTCTCATTGAAGTGACAGTCTGCATGATTAACAACCTCAGTTAAATAGCATGCCTTCTCATCAATCTCTAGTAAATTGGTAACGCCAACCATCACGATTCTAAATCTGACCCTATAACACTAATGGTTTAGAACCATCAACACCATATGAGACCCAAATCCTGTTTCAGTACCCCAATCTTGATAGCATTTCACTAATTTGATCCACATTCCATGAATAAGTGACATGATTTCAAACTCATCTCAATCCGTGGACAGTAGCCATTTTTCAGAGCTGCAGGAATTTCAAAGATGTCACTTCCATCTTTGTGGACCTGACAAAAAGAAGCTAACCATTTCAACTAATGCAATTGATTATACCAACCATGTAGAAAGAAAATGGGAAAATGGTTTCCACAATAAACTGCATTTAAAATTTAAAATGATTCATGATCAAAACTACCATCATGTATTCCATGCTGGTTGACAGCAGACGCCTTTAAGAGAGTAGGCATGGAACATTGCTATAAGAAGAAATATCTAATTTGAAAGAGATAATTACCTTTCTTTTCCGTTTACTGATCACAAAATTACTAACAATAACAGGAATGGTGGAGAATCTGGGAGAAATTTCTATTGACCATTCAACCAGTCAACATTGCATATTCCGGAACTCCAGGGGGATAGCCTAATGGTGAGGCTTTCACCTCACATCTTGGAGATCGAGAGTTTGAATCCTTTTGAGGCCAACACACGGAATTTTTCCAGTAATTGCCCGGTGTATTTGGAATAACCAAGAGATATAGGTGGTCGTTGCTTTGAGAATTTCCTTAACAGTCCACCTTCATTTTAAATCTCAAACAGATATACAAAGCACTCTCTACTCTCTAGCTTCTAGTGTTGGATGGGTCTGATGGAAGCGTACTATGAAAAAAAATGCTCAAAATATTATCATCCAAAAAAATTTAAAAGATACTGTTTTACAAGCAAAATAGATGTTGAATGACAGGATCAAATAACAAAAATAAACATGTGCATTCCCCAAGCATACAATTTTACTTCACCAATTATAGGCTCTGAACACACAATAATAAGTAAATAAATGACTTGCCTCTTCAAACATTTGCAATGGACCCCAGTGATCATCAACTCCGAATAAAAATGCAAGCTGACTTTGCTTTCCTCTCATAAAAGCCCAATCTGGTGTTTCTGAAAGCTAACATAAAAAGACCATTGTGGTACATGGTTAGAAATGCATTTTAACAGGCCTTTTTTGCTGGATATGAAGCTTGAATGTTAATGCAGCATAACAGATATGGTCAACCATTGTCATGGAAACATAAATTAACACGCAAGTACAAGATACTAAAATGCCACATAATATCATCTTTGCAAATTCAGGAACCATAAATATTGAAAAACCACACAATAGAGAAAAATATTAAGAAATATAAACAAATACGAAGCACATAGTTGTTCAACCTTAAATCTTTTCATCTCCATTTTTCACTTGTAAGTTCTGAAAATTAAACATATATATATATATATATATATATATATTATCAAATAACTACTGTGGCTTAGTGACCTGGGAGGAGGAAACATCATCATCAATTATATGACAAAACAAACTAATGTAGTTCTAGCTTCCACTAATGATTCTCAATCTTTGCTCCATTCCAACAATGCCTATTTGTCCCAAAACCACGGCACCACCTCTTACTCTCAAAACAAGAAACAACTTAGACACAAACAAATGAGTCAACTAACCAAAACAATCATGGTCATTGAGAAGATACCACATAGCATCAATAATCACTTGCATGATAACACAAACCAATCTAGTTCAATTTTCTATCTGTTCTGTTCAGGCCCATACTACAAACTTCACAAGTCCTTGGTGTAAACATTAAAATCAAAGAAGTAACAACTTCCATCCAAGAGAACAAGACACCATAGAAGCTACTAATACACAGAAAATAGATATAAAACAATAGAAAGTTCCAACAAAGTTTTAGGTATCTAAAAAAAATAGTAAATTAGAGCATTCTTGCCCTTCAAGAATCAAATGTATTGCCTTTTCCCTCCCCCGCATTCTAAGAAGGGGAGAGATTGGTCGGTCAGTCAATACGACTTCTGTGCCCAGGAAAAAAAAAAAAAAAAAATTGTAACAAGAAAACTTCAGACGTTTTCAGGGCCAAACTTTACATAGGCCGCATGTGTGTACATACAGAATTAACCCGGTTCAAACACTATGAAAGATTTAGTCTTAACTAACCTTCCATTCACAAAGACTACAAAGTCATAGACCCAATGTTTTTTCTTTTTCATGTTCACATTCAGACTTCTTATAATTGCCAGCTTTATATCAAAGTTGCAAAACCACAAAATTTTGAATACACGTTTTGCTTCAATTTTCTGAGAACTTGCCAATTTTTTATTATTTTTTATTCTAGATTTACCAATGTTAATATAAAAATTACATTATCAGCACTTGCAACTTTCTTGAATATTTAACTTTCTTTTTAACTATAGTTAAGTTCATGATTAAATATTTTTCACTCAACTTTACCAATGTTAATATAAAAATTACATTACCAGCACTTGCGACTTTCTTGAATATTTAAGTTTCTTTTTAACTATAGTTAAGTTCATGATTAAATATTTTTCACTCAACTCCAATTCAAATGTGAATTCAAAACTATATAGCCAAAACATAGAAAATACATATAATAAACTCTTCAACTGTGAATTTTGACAAGATAAAAAAACCATTACCTATCTCTGATCCTGCTTATGAATCGTCCTAAGAAGAAAAAACTAAAGACAAACCTAATTATTTGGAACTACCCTGCACAAAGTGGATACTCTTAGACTTTGACCTACGTTTTCACACTTGTCAATACAAACTTTTACCATCGCACCAAACAATCAACCCTATTAATTGGGAAAAGATATTGTAAAACACCTATTTAAAAAAAATCTCACTCTAATAATTGTCCTCATGCAGGTTATTACTTTTAGATCGTCTTTATGGTAACGCCAATCAATGCAATCAAAGCATCATTTACACCCCAGCTGGCATATTCAGAACATCTCGGAGGTTTTGGAAATAAAGTACCTATCAGGCAACCTTTGGGACAAATAATCAACAAATTGTTGGACGATTGGCAGTCTCTTAATTTATGTTTTAAGAATTTGTTTTACTCCATACCTTATTTTTTTAGATTTCCGAGTACAATAAAAATGCACAATATATAATGCACAGAAATAAAAAAATAAAAAAAAAACTTTTGAAATATAGTCCATTATTGTTGTAAGTATATGTAAGGCAACAAAAGGTTGTGAGTACAAAAATGAACCAACTTTACCATTGCAGATCTTTGTAAATTCGTGCATTTCTTCTACAGGAAAAATTATACAAAAGATTCCGAGGCAAGAAGTTAAATATACAATCAATAACTTGAGCTTGGAATGCAAATGAAAATTGTACATTTATGAAATCCAAATAGATTATACACAGTATGTATCTATTAAAATCCAAATCCAAATATACATGTCAAGATCCAAATTTGGTTTTGAATCCAGATCCAACAAAAGTATAACCGAACTTGAACACAATAGAGTAATTGAAAATCTAAACACAATTCAACTCTGAGAACAATAAAAAAAAACCAAGGTTCTAATATATACATAATTTACATGATATCTCAGGAGTTTTATAACAAAGAAATAATATTACAAAACTTTGCTTATATATATATATATATATATATATTGTGACGCCCCACATTGCTTAGGGGGAAAGGTTGTTGATACTTATATACCTCCTAACTGTATAGACGTGTTTTGAAAACCGTGAGCACCGAGAGGAGAATGTGCAAAGTGGACATCATCTACACAGGTTGGGTGGGTCGTGATAAATGGTATCAAAGCCAATCCCTAGCTGGAAATTGGGAGTGTGTGCACAAGCCCATGAGGGTCAGGCCATTGGGTCTCAAGAGGGTGTTATTGTGACACCCACATCGCTTGGGGAGAGAAGTTGTTGGCACTTATATGTTTGGATGCCTCCTAACTGTGCAGACGTATTTTGAAAACCGTGTGCACCGAGAGGAGAGTATGCAAAGCGGACTGTATCTGCACAGGGCGGGCGGGAATAGACAAACACATATACTAATATATTTAATCTAACTATTAATTGGATAGAGTCTACACGATTTGAATTTAATCCATTTATTGTCAGATTTATTAGGTTGGATTTGAATTCAACCAACAAATCTAGGTCAATATCATAATCAAATTTAAATCAAACCTGTTGAAGGGTTTAGATATTAAAATTACACCTTCTCTAACAGCTTTAAGTTTTTAGAGTAGATGATTGTTAGGTCCTATGTTATAACTAAAATTGAAACACATGTTGGACCAAAAGAAAGACACACATGAGGGGTCTTGTTGAAGGATTTAAATATTAAAGTTACACCGTCTCTACTTATCAAAAAAAAAAAGTTACATCATCTCTAACGGCTTAAGCTTTTAGAGTAGATGGTTGTTAACAAAACCTTCATCTAATTCTAACTCATTAACAGTGATAGTCATTTAGATCATAGCATACAAAAAGTCTAAGAGGAAAGTATTATTATTAACTAACTTCCAAATCTTATTGGGTGGTTCAAAATATTACAATGTCATTAAAAGTCTGCTATGAACTTCTTTCATCAAACATATATTTCTCTAACTATAATAATCAAAAGTGCTTAGCAAGCGAACATATACGAAATAAAACACTGAAAAAAAAAAAAAAAAAAAAAAAATGAAGAAGAAGCAGAGGCTACTAATAACTAGAAGCCTATTAGTCAAATGTTTGCTTAACTCCCAAAGCTACATCATAATTCTACAGTCAGTTATCAAATCTTTTGGAACAAGGGAGAAAGTAACTACTAACTTCCGAAAGTACTTTTCTACACCTGATTATCAAGTGGACTCATTAGGTGGTTTTTGGAAAAGGATGGTAAAGCAACCCCAACTCCTTGAGAGTAGGCAGGTGGCTTCATTTTATATGATAATATAGATGTATTGACTATAGACATTACTCAATAACAACCTGACGTGACTCCATTTCTCAAAAGTAGGCAGGTGGCTTTATTTTATACAATAATACATATACAATGACTGGCATTCCATGATGACAATCTGATGCAATATTCTAATCCAATTCAAGAGTCACTATCAAATATATGGTCAGTTTTTTTTTCACATTTAAATAATTCTCAACAAGCAGCAGGATTATTACCTTTTTGAACTCTGTCATTGCCATAAAGAGCACATTGCGCATCGTATGGTACTGAAAAATAGAATAAAAGTGAAGTAGAAGTTAACAGAGAAAACTACACACGTGCGACATACCTATTATTTAAATTTTAGTGATAAAATAATCATGTTCTGTAAGAATAATCGTAGGAAATTCATAAAATGTAAGCTTATCCTTGTTTTAATCACTCATAAGGCAATAAGTTTAGTGAGGAATGTACATCATGTCATGAAATTTTGTGAGCACTTCACTTGAGTGCTAATTTTGTAGGGAGTCCATTAAACATGACAATCATTCACTGCAAATCATGCTTCTAATGTTTCCATCTAACATGTTGGTCCATGATTGCTTTTGCGGTAAAAACAAATCATGGTTGCATAAACCATTCCAAAAAACAAAATTTGTCTACTTGAGTACCCCTCCCCCCCACCCCCCCACAGGGAATTGTTTGCACCCAAGAGGAGTCGAACCTTAGACCTGATTCTTCATGAGGCACTAGGGACCAAGTGACTTACCCACTTGAGCCAACCCTGTTCACTCCATATTTCCATTAACTTTCACAACTCCAATTTGTTTTCACAGCAAAAACCAATAGGCCACAATCTTTGCCGTTGCCTTTTACTTTTTATATGATGGCACATTTATAGTAGCGCTAAACAGATCAAATAAAGTGATTTTAACAATATACAACTTTGTGGAAAGCAGAATTCACACTTAAGAAACTAATATCTAGCAGTGAAAAAACAATACTTCACCTGGAGCACATGAGTGCAGAGAGCCTCAACTGCTGTAGCAGAACAAGTTCTTCCAATAAAAATTTTCGCAAGAAACCTGGAAGTCTGGGTTGGTAATAAACCCAAAGACGCCACAATGAAACTAAGTGCATTGCATAGAATTGGGGACCTGTAATTCAAAAACATGCAACATTAATCCATCTTTTGAAGGTTATATTTCAGTGATAGTACAGATATACTTTTGGATCTACCCACCTTCAGTGCGAGACAAGGAACTATAGGAGATTTGAATATCAAGAACAATAGATATTAAAGATCACCTCCCACCAAAAAAAAAAAAAAAGAAAAAAAGAAAAAGAAAAAGAAAAAGAAAAGTAAAAGTCTGAACAAAGTTAGACAATAAAACTAAGAAAACAAAAACTATGTGTTAGAATAAGAGAAATGCTGCAAGTAAATTAAGGACAAAACATGCCCCATTCAGACATAGATATAACAAAGAGGCAAAATTGGTTGTACTTATAGAAAGAAAGAGTTTTACGCGGTAATCCTCCTTATAGTAGACTGATGTGAAGATTCTGTGTTCACTGCTAAAAAGGGATATAGCGCGATGCAATACATCACCTATAAAACAATAATGAAGCGTCATGGGATGGGTTCTTCAAGAAGAGCATGTAGGTTGCCATGATATACACTGAAAATATCAAAATATGTGGTGATCACCTTTTCAGGACATCTTCTATACATTTCAATTGATATATATGAACCAATAGAGTGCCCAACCTTCAGAGAGAAATTACAAATCAGCCACCAAAACTTTTGAAGAAAGTAACAATTAACATTCCCACAATATTTACAAACATAGGTAAGATATACAAATTAGCCGAATAGTTTATGAATTTGATCGTGTAAACTAAATAAGCTAAAAACTAAAGTTATAAGTAGATCAGATATCGGTATCTTTAACTCCTAACAATTAAAAGAAGAAAAGAAACAATATAAGTAAGAAATCCTAGTTCACAATGGAATATTATTGATTCAGTTCAAGTTACCAAATTATTCGACAAAGCCGACAGACAATACTGTTATGGGCTGTTCTTGTGGGTTTTCAGTTATTTTCCACACATAATCCAATCAAATGAAGGGGGGTAGCAGCTTGATGCTAATATTCTTGTGATTGGAGAGATTTTCTATGGATAAAAATTCGAAGCAAAATACTCACTTTAATATTTCTCAAAATATGATATATGTTCCTTAAAACTACTTACAATACTTATACAGTATTAAAAACATTTGGATTATTTTATTTCTTAAATCATGCTTGGTCCATCAGAAATCCACGCCCAGAAGTTTCAAAAACTTTCATTTCGCCAATAAATTTTGGACAGTTAAAAAAGCATATAAAGAAGAAGATATTCCGGGTCAATAACCTTTACCATGTAACTTATACAAATGAAAAAGTACACTCAGATTAAAGGATCCTAATGTGAACTGATAAAAACTTTGGCCCAGGTTTCCTACTAGAGGTTGGCATCAATTAGAAAAATTCCTACCAGTAATATAGGGACTTCAATATTTTGTAGTTCACATTGGATGAAGTCCATCTGCAAGAAAATGAGATCAAACTGTCATTATTAATCAATTTAGCATACTTGTAAAAGAATAATAAACAAAACTGGGGAAAAAAGTTACCATTGTGAAAAGGATTTGAAGTTAGGAGAGAGAGAAAGATGAGAGGAAAAGACAGTGAGGATTACTTAAGACTAAAGGCCATATAGGTCGAGGATGAGTTGGAATTTGCTTTCTGTAAGAAACAGAGCTTGCTAGCATCTAGGGCCCACTGGCTTGAATGAATTTTCCAGGCAAAATCTCATTAAAACAAGATTTGAGAACATAAGTTTGTTTTCTTCAAGCAGATTGTCCAACTCATGTGAAACAATGCAATAGATGCCGAATTCCACACTTTATAATGGATAAATCACACTAAAATAATCCTGATTTTCCTCACTTCCGGAAGATGTTAGGCTCCTAGTGGAACATAAGAACCAGCAAACTTGAACTAATAATTTTTCTTTAACCATACTAAAGATTTTCTCAAAATCTATGCCACACAACAGATTACCTTATGGTCAATTTGTTCTTGTAATGAGAACAACCTTCCACGCTCCCAATTCTAACAAGGAAAATTAAGTTAATATAATCATTGACCACTAATTAACCTAATATTGACCACCAAACAAATATACCTTTTCTGTGTGCGAAATGTGACCAACAGCTGCTAATCAATACAAAAGACTACCAATTAAAAGATAATTCATAGCTCCTATATCCAATAAACACAATGATATCATACTTATAATATTGCAATTGAAATCATCGGACCTAAAACAATAGAATAACATGAACAAAAACAACCCATGTCTTGCCTGTTACAGATGCAGTTCCTCCAAGCATCTCATATAGTGACTCCAAAAAATCCGTGTAGAAAGAAATGACACCTGTAATAACCAAACCCAATTCTTAATTGAACCAAAAATATATTTAAATAACACAAAAAGCACAAACATTCGAGAAAGCACAAATCATACAACCTGGATTTCCAGGGATGAACAGAACATGTAATCTTGGATTGTCGGAACAAATCTCTAATAAATCCGTCTTATATCTAGCCTCAAGAAAATAAATTGACCGTTAAAATTAATGGCACAATAAGAGCTCAACAATCACTATATAAAACTAAAAGAATTAGAATGATACCCAGACACATCGCACAATCGAGCATTAGCATGCCTTCTTTTGCCAACTAAACGTAAATTGTCATCACCCATCACTCTACACGTACGCTTCGATATATAACTTCTACTGAAACATCATACCAAGCGAAAAAAATAAAGAATCTAGAACTGGGTTTTCTATTGTAAAAAGTGATTATGTTTGAGAACAGTAATTGTGCAACGATTATGCATACATATGAATATACCTATGTATAGAGAAAGGGGGGAATTGCTTCTGAAATAATCGACATGTGCGTATCTATCTATGTGTATATAGATGGAAGAAAAGGAGTGGGAAAAAAAAAAAAAAACACACACACACAGAGAACTGTTTAACGCATACATTTCCCCGAATAGATTCTATAGGGAGAGAGAGGAGATGGAATTTCTTTTGAAATAATTGGTGTTTGTATATACCTTGAACAGAAGCTGAGTGACAAGGGAGAGATGGATCTGCGAGAAAGTATTCTACTCATCCAACTCCCATATTCTGCATTCATGTGGATGCGGTGGCAATAGTTCGTTAGGTACTAAGGCTGCGTTCGATGTAAAAAAATAAAATAAAATAAAATGGTGTGTGTAGCAGTAGTGTAGTGATAATACCCAATTTTGTTTAGAATAAAGACAATGAAATTATTTTAGGCAATGTCACCGTGGCATCTTTGTGGTTGTTAACACCCAAATTTAACCCACATTCATATACATATTATTTTTTGCATTTTTAGATTAAAAACAGTGAAAGAGTGACCTTTCAATTCTATTTTGGTGAAACTCTATCATTTTGAAACACTCATTCCATAACTATCAAATGATAATATTACAAGAATTGGATAAAGTTGAAAAATAAGCTTTTAATTTGACCAATGTTCTTACGCAATATAAGAAAAGTTTAAAATCTTGGACAACATTCTTTCACAGTCCCTTCATCTAAGAGTGAAAAATTAACAAGGTGGTGACGTGGAACATATCAAGCAAAGGCAACGTGGTTGGTGCTTTGGAGAGAAATTTACTATAAATACCCAACCAAGGCTATAAGCAAAGGGACCCCGAAACTAGCATTATGCTTCTCTTTCTTATCTCCTTTAGGCCACTTGCCCTATTTATCTTGTCCTGGTAGTAGTTCGAAGTGCAGCTTTGTTACTCATCGTTGTTTCATGCCTAGTATTACTTAATTATCAGTGCTTCATCTTTTATTATCCATGTTCTAGTTTCTTTGATTAGATCCTTGTAAGTTGTATGTTCATTTCCTATTAATGCAATGCCGCTATTTTCTAGCAACTAAATGTATCAATTATTTTCTCCTTTATTTTACTCTCGGCATTATCTTCATCAATCATTTGAGGAAAATTTAAGTCCTTGTTACCAAGGCAATGCTAACCCAATAGGAGGTGTTTTCCCCGCCTTCTCACAGTCACTTAACCAATTTTTGGGACCAATCCAACTTTGGGAATATGGTTCGGCTCATACCCTGAGTTCGGGTTAAGGATTCTGGCACGCCCACACTTCTCAAGAGCCAAAAATTGTGCAAACAGTGGTACATTTGGGAGTTTTCTCGAGCAATTTTCTGAATAGTTTGAAAAGAAATGTGGAAGATTATAGAGTGAAAATAAAATATCTAGATTATTTGGAAAAGTATTTATGTGGGTCCATTTTAATGGGTTTTAACTGTTGATTTATTTATTTATTTATTTATTTTTAACCTAGCAAACAAACAGCCAATGTTCCATTAAACATCATGAATCCCGTAGAATCACATGAATCCCGTAGAACCACATAACATCTAAAGCAAAACCACTCCATAGAAACCTAACACTAAGCAAAGACATGACACTGGTCATGATAACCTAAGCTTAAACAGTTTCTAGAGCATCAAACAACCAAAGACAGCCCCTCCTCCCACGCCTTTAAAACCACCAAGTGACCATCAATAAACCAAGGACAACCATGAAGAACTTGGTGACGAACACAAGCATCTGGAACAATTAATTGGAATAAGTTCGCCGCCACTTTAAAGACTTGAAGCCGTTGTGGAATGAGGTGCTGAAACTTGGCCTTCAGCCACAACAGAATCCCTTGAGCAGTGGCGTCCTCGGATAAATGAATGGGTTCCTACTCGGCCGAAGACAACGTCAAACTCCTGAACTGATCAAGGACGCCTTGCTCCATCACTCCCTCAGGCAAAGTATCCAAAAAAAAAAAAGATTAACACAATTACACACCACCGTGGATTCAGAAAAGAATGGAGAGTATGTATATAAAAAGCAAACAGAGAGAATTGAAATAGCACATGATATAACCATTGATTAAGGGAGTGAATAACTTATAAAAAGTTGAAGCTTCATTTGCTCCATTAAATTTTGAGGCTTTCTTTAGTTGGAATGATTTGGAGAAATTTGAAAATAATAAAAAAAAAAATTAATGAGTTAAGTAGTATATTTATAATCTTATAATTACTTCAACAATTAGAAGAAGTGATATCCATTTCTAATATACCATTCACTGGAAATGACCATCTTTTTCTTAGTTAATGGAGGAGTGCAAGTACAAGACTAATTTTAAGATTTTTGCGTGATATCAAATATATGTGCAATTTTATATATATAACAACCTTGAGTTGGAATTGTTGAATAGGAGTACTAAATTCTGATAAAACAACAATCCAAAGTGAACCAATTGCAAAAAAGTGTGATACTCAACAGATACAGATGTATGTATTTAGCAATGGGTAGAATAAGAGTAATTAATTCTGATATAGCAACAATCACCAATTGAAAAAAAGGACTGTGATCCTATTGAGTCATTAGATCTGGTATTATAATGAAAAAAAAAAAAAAATTAAGTCTATCAAAATATATAAGTCATATTTTAACCTTAAAGAAAATTCAAACAATCAGTCATTAATGGTCATTTGACTCATTTTCACAAAAAAATAAAAATAAAAAAATTATAATTGGACCTCACTGATCAACCTCCTCCCTTGAGTTTTGATCGTAACTTTGGCACGGTAGAGAGCATAATTATTCTTAGAATAAATACAAAAAGTTATCATAATAAGTAGATTGTTATCAATTTTTTTTCTTTTCGCCAACACATGTCACAATTAACCAATAACAAACATCAAGAAGGACACGATATCATGAAGAGGAAAACAAAAATCAAGTAGGCAGGAAGATGATGAAGTTTGAATGCTCTCACTTTTTTTATAAAGTTTAACATATTTTTCTTCCTCTAATTTTCCTGAAAACTTTCTTCCTTTGATTTTTATTTTCCTTTTCGCTTAACTGGTGGTAAGATCGGAAGATGAAGAGAGCACGTCAATATAATGTCAATGTAAATTGAATTCGGTGTCTTTGGAAACGCTCTCCTTTTACATTGAATATGAGAAAGCACCCTCAAGAAACTCTACACTAATAATAATTCTATCATTAAATACCCATCAAAATTAAATTTATCTCCTTAGCCAATTGTTGCATCGTATTAAGTACATTTTTAAAATTTATTTATTTTTCTTTATTGCTCAAGTAATTAATCCAAAGAAGTTGATGAACTAAGACGAGTGATGCAACTATGCTTATTGAATTTGTAATTAATCCAAAGAAGTTGGTACATTTTTAATTGGTGATTTTAGATACCAAAGAGTTGGAAATGTTTGTAATATGAACGGTCTTAATTTAATTGGAAATAAATAATAATAATAATAAGTTTATAAAAGAACAAATAAAAAAATATGCCAATAGAATTTAAAAGAATATAATTATATGTAGTTATTTAAGAGTTCACCTGCGTTATTAAAGATTCCTTTTGCGAAAGAAAAAAAATATATATACCTGTGTTATTAAAGATAGAAGTTATAGAACTGTTGATAAAAACTTGGGTCTCCAATTAAAACAGACTACAGCCACTAAATATGAAGTGAGTCGTGACAGTTTAATTAGATAAACGTAAACATGTCAATAATTTTAAAATATACTGTAATTATTAATCATAAATTATAATTCTATATTTTTTTACTTTAATTTTCAATTTTGACACCAAAGAGTGAACTGTTTAAAATTAATTGGGATGTTTGTTTGTTTTTTTGAAGTGTGTTATAAATATATTTTTTTAATGAATTTGAAGATTGGATCATTAGTAATATTGATTTCAAATGTGATTTCTTCAAATTTACAATTTTACTTGACTTCACTCTTTGATTAACCTTTGATCAAGTACTTTTTTTTTACAATTTATTAAAGAGTTTTAATCAGTGCAAATGCATGAAAGTCTAAAAATACTAGAAATAGTAAAATGTTGGTGTTTAAATTTTGAAATTAGATAATCATAACTTATCCAATCATCTACCTGTATGATAAACTCTATCTATCCTTATGGTAGTAGTGAATTAACATTGGCAAGTCCCGGTTTAACATTTAAAACTGCCACGTGTTGCATGCAATCTACGTTACAAACAATAACTCCATTTTAGGGTCTGCTAGTTCAGAATGTAATCATTAATATATCATATTTTGATTTTAAAAACTATATTCTAACAAATATATATATATATATATATATATATATATATAATTTTGATTGACCAAAACAACCCAATCAGCAATTTCATGTGAAACTAAACCGTGAAGTTTCTCTTCACCTGCTTCCTATATATATATATAGTAATGAGTTAGTAAAGCATAATAAAAAAGAAAACCGTTGAATAACTAAGAATTTCATAATGCCAAGTCTTGACACACTCTACATGATATATAGCATGATCTCCAATTTCGTCTCACGCCATGAATGATGCAATGTAATCAATATAATATGTAGCAAGCAATCAAGCTAAACATTATAGAATTTTAAATATTATAAAACCTTTGCATATATATATATATATATATATTCTGACCTAGTCGACCACATGACCTAATCTCATACACTTGTTTTTATATTTATTATTGTTTTTTCCTGGAAAAAGAGCATTGACTGAAGTAAGCTTTATTCAAAAACAATTTGTATATTGTAATCATTTGATGCCATAATTTGGTTTAAGCTTCAACTAACCATAACAACTCTTCTATTTATTTTTATTTTTTTATACCAATAAGCATACATGTACACAACTTTAAGAATTTATATATTTAAGATGTATATTTTCTAACTGTTTAAATTTTTTCTAAAAGTGAACGTTGTTAATAGGATATCGGAGAGGCAGAGCCAATTATCATACTAATAATCAAAATTAAAACACCTTATTTAACATTTTAAGCTTTAAAGTAAATCTTTATTCGGTATGTAAAAGTAAATAAAAAATTTTAGGTAAAATTTTACTTACCCCCCTGAGATCTCTCTCTCACTTACCTCTCCTGTAATCACACTTATCTTTCTTGTCAGCAATCAAATAGTCAATTTTACCATTCCAACGTTTGAGATGACAGTAAAAATTTCTTAAACTAGATGGTAAAATAACACACGATAATTAAAATAATCTCGACAATTCTCGGAGGGTAAGTGGAGTCTACCGAAATCTTTTACTGTAACTACCACAGTCCAAGAGCAGAAAAATAAAATTGCAACAAAGGTTTTTTTTTTTTTTTTTTTTTTGTTAAAAGGGTAAGCTTAAATTGCAACAAAGTTGAATGAAGCAAAAAGCACCTTCCATGCTCTATTGTGCATTTCATCTTTTGCTGGGGGACCCCATGAAAGCACTATCACATGCGGTATCTTTTATCCTTTTTATAATGTCACCATCAAGGGGCCTGGCTAAAGGATTGGTCAACTTGGTATTCAATGTCAATTATACCCTTATCCAAATAAAACCTCCTTCCATGCAGTAGTAGTAAGTGGCAGTCTCTTTGATTATTAATTTAAGTGAGATTTTCTCGGAAGAAAATTTATTAGGGCCCTAATGAGTTGACAAGTCTTAGATAATACTCTCTCTCTCGTGGAAGGACAAAATTACCCATGGAATGTAATTTCTATCCAACTGGTTTGCCCAAGCAAATAAAGTTTACCATTTGTGCCAAATTTTGGCATAAATACTTAGAAATTATCAAAATATGAGTATTTCATGAAGAATTGTTATTGAATATGTCCTTTGTCCGACTCTATAGACAAGTGAAATATGAGACAAAGTAGATAAATAAATTTAATAAATTCAATTATTCAATCAGTCCTGCCAATTTTATTATCCAATTGAAATTCTTTCCTACGGTATTTTCTCCCTGTTTTATATATAGAGACATAGAAGATACCTTCTTACAAGTAGTGGTATCAAAGTTTCCAACACTTCAATAAAAAAATTTTTTAAAGAAATACTAATAAAAATATAGTTTGAATTTTATAATTTGATTAGGAATTATGCACTTTAAAAGGAGATGAACTTTATCTTATTTATCGCAGTGCAAGAGTTCTTATTAGACACTGTTAACAAAGTCGGAAAAAATCGGTTTGGGTGTGGTAGCCTCCTGGTTTTATTAATATAAATGAATGCTTGAATTACGAGAATACCCTTTACCTGAACGTATAAACTGCCAAACGGTAAACCCGTTGAAAGAATCCCAAGAAATCCCCTCACAGAATTACGTGTAAAATAATGAGGAGGCGTCCGTGGCAAGAAATCCTTCAAACCTCCCAATGCAATCGCCGTTATATATATATATAGATACAGAACTGCATATATATATTTATATATTATATATATCATAAAATCTGCATAACGAACTTCCCCTTCCTCTCATCTCAAGTTTCTCCGAATTTGTCTCCATTTCTCGAACACCCAGAATCCGAAACTCTCCCTTCAAACCAAGGTAAACAATTTCATTTCTTCCAAACAGAATCTTAAACAGCACTATATTTTTATTTTTTTCTCTAGATTCTTGTTCTCTTTTGGAAGTTTTTCTGATTATTTTCATTTCAATGCAGTCTCTGAATCCGTCAAATTGGTTTTCTTTTCTTTAACCATTTGACGGATCACGAGTTCATTGATTGATTGTTATTTGAGTTTTGTGATCTCTGTTCTTCCTAAGAGGTTTGATTCAACAGTTTCTGGTTCCTTTTAAATTTGCGATTACCTTTTCGTTTTGAATTTTGTATAAAAATAAATGCAGAAATTTGGTATTCAAGTCTTTAATGGCCGTTGAATTAATGAGTTTATTTTGGGTTTTTTTTATTATTATTATTTTTATATATATATGAAGGAATATTGGCGGGCTTCGGTAAATAATAAAGATGTTGGGAAATTTCATCACCAGAGGTCTTATGTATGTCATCAATAAATCCATTTCCTTCTCACTGTTTGATTGCTTCCATTGATTTCTATTTTTGTTATTGCTATTTATTTTCTCGACTTCTTTTGAATAATTCTTGACTTTTAATTTTTTAATTTTTTGGGATGGCAGTTTATTCCTCGGATACGCATATCCTGCGTTTGAGTGTTTCAAAACGGTGGAGAAGAACAGAGTGGAGATTGAAGAGCTTCGATTCTGGTGTCAATACTGGTGAGAAGTTTTTTTCAGCAATTTCAGGCGTTTTGATTTGGATATTTAATAAAGTTTGTGTAAAATTGGTTCAATGTTAATTATTTGTATCATGAGTTTTGGGCAATCAATTTCAATTAAATAATTATTCTTTTTATTAATAACAAATGTTGGACTCGAACAAAGTTAGTGTAAACTGATCGATACGAATCACCTATACTTAAAAAAGAGTCATATATCAGCCCATACACATCAGGAACCATGTATGCAACATATATATATATATATATATATATATTTGGCAACAATGTGTTGTTTTTATAGTCTAAGGTAAAAGCCAAAACATAGTAAGCCCGCCCAGAATTAGCACCATCATTCACAACAACTTTCTGTACTGAAATGACATATCCGTGACCTTATCTTAGAGGCCCAATATAGTATTAGCCAGATGGAGTTGTATTTAAACTTGGTGCTGCTATTTGTCCTGCATAGATACTTCTGCAAATATCCTGAAGAAGAAGGATAGGAGAGGAATTTGTCAATAGGAACGGATGAAAATAAGTCATGAATAATAGCTTTCAGGATAATTATTATTATTGTTGGGGGCACTATGAATCAGACTGTAGGGTTGGTCCACTCCACTGTTTGGAGATGTAATACATTTCCAAATATTAGATACTTTCTTTGGAAATGTAGTCAATCGAGGTGTGGTGATTGACCCGGTGTGGTGACTGACCCGGTGTGTCACATACGTGGATTGGAAGGGGAAGATGTTACACAGGGACAGAGGGAGTTAAGGAACTGGGCTGCGCGGGCAGGGGGTCTTGGATTTTCTCCCTCTTATATATATATATTTTATAAAAATATGAAAATTACCTTCCTGAATTTTCTCATTATTCATAAAATTCTATATATATATTTCTTATTTTTTCCCAAAAACTATATATTTTCAAAAATATCACCATCTCTTCCAATATGTATACTTATAAACATTGACTTATATGCATCTATATTATATTGTAAATATATGTTCTGGTATACAATACTACAATGTGCTCTCCCTGAAAAAAAATTCTGGCTCCGTCCCTGATGTTACCCACATTTTTTTTAAATGCCCTCAATCAGTTCGAGTATGGAAACTTTCACCTCTTCGGCTTGACCTTGTTAATTCAAATATCTATTCTTTTTTAGAGTGGTGGAAAGGACTAATCAAACTTTCGCATTCCAAGGAGTAGTATTAACATATTTGTAGCATTGCGTCAGTTTGTGGATGGTTTATTTTGAAAGTTAGAAATCGAATGGTTTTTGAAGGGGAATTATAGAATCCTTGTATGATGGAGTGCATGACTGGAGGGTATAATTAAATGTAATATTGTTGATGCATGGTTCTCCCGAGGTAATTGTATGGGTGGAAGGGGTGCTATTTTTCGTGATTGGAAGGGGGCTATTGTGAAGGTATTGGTGTTTAAGCCATTTTTATCTCAATCCCAATTGGTGGTTAAAGCTTATTGCCTTAGAAAGGTTGTTATGTGAGCGCGGACATGGTCTTTTCAAACTATCTGGTTTGAAAGTGATGCGAAGTTGATAGTTGACATATCCTCCCTGCCTTGAATTGTCCTGTGGATATTGCAGCTTTGATTAAATTTTTACATTTGAACATAATTGAATTGCTTCTCCAAGGTCAGAATCTCTCATATTTGTCATCAAGGAAACCAAGTTGCTCACACTATTGCTTCCCTCTTTCATGGTTGTAAGAAGGATGATGTTGTTCTTGACCATCTGGCACCTGAGATTGTCCAGTCAGTGACAATTGACTGTGGTCTTTCTGGTTGATGGTCTTGTTGTGCTTGTTTTGTTGCTACGAAAAAAAAAAAGGACTCATGTTGATTTCTAGCATGGGAGAAAGTATTAAATTGTGATACCCCTCGATTCTAAAGGCACGGGTTGATCAGGTCTGTGTCCAAAACCGAGGGATATATAATAATTAATAATAGACAATTACATAATACAAAGGATAATAAAGAATAAATGATCAAAGCTAAAAAAAAAACGAAATAATAATAATTTATTAAATCCTCCAAGATTAAAATCCAATAAATAATAATTAAATAAATCTTCTAATAATAAAATCCCAATAATAAGAATCTTCAATTAAATCCAAATACTCTGATACCAATACAACTCGAGAATCCAAGATGTGGATCCCAAATAAAAATCCCAACTAGAATAACAACTGAAATAAATATCTAAATCCAAAGACTAAAAACATAAAGTAGAATCCTACGTAGATAATCAGAAGAGTGATGAAGATTGGTATCTGCTATATATGCACGAACAATCTCTACGCATGGTGAACACATGAAAAATAATAGTAGGTCAGGCCCACGAACAAGTCCTTTTTTACTACATCTTAAATAGAAACCCGATACATGAATACACCTTAATCAATCCATACAATAACTATGTAGTCCGTATATACATAGATACACACTAAATGACTCTCACTGGACTATAGGGCGGACTCAACCGGATAGTAGGCAATATGCAAAACGCACACATGGTGGCATGAGTACCATCATCTACCAGAGCACACAACAATCCACTATATCTAGCTATGCATCCCTAAGGCACTATACGCTCCCTAACTACTGATTCTGAGACCTCAAGCTTATATCGTGGCACATATCCGTATATATATAAATTTATATCCTATCTAGAACAATAAAATAAACTATTCGTCATATTCTTTCAATGGCATATCATCCACATGATTCCGTGACCTGACACGAAGAGATGAGACTAAACTTATTAGCCAATCCATCCATAATATGCTTACATATCCTGACAATGGCACATTAATCCATATCTATATCCTAATAATGGTTTCCAATCCAAATAAAAAATGCAAGCATATATGTGCATTAGATAAATCCAAAACAAACATGATATTAATCATATAGATATCCATTGCATTTAATTAAGCCATATAAACAATTCTAAGTAGCATGCAGTTAACTTACATTACAAATAATTAACATACATCTCAATTAAATTGCATAAACCTTCATAACACGCTTAAAATCATTTCAATATCCATTTAATTGTTAAAACAGTTTAAAACAATTAAATAATTTACTACCCAACTTTTGAGTTATTTAAAATCCCATATTATTTAATTTGTAGCATTTTAATATATATTATGCATTTCAGTCATTTATTGAGTCAAGCACAGCCCTATAAGATCATTAGAATAGACCTGAACCAATCCTAGGCATGAAAACCCATGAAAAACCCTGCACTGACGTGTCTCCTACAAACGTCAACTGGTTTACACAAACCGGTCGACTGGTTCCTGCGTCTCTTCGTTTTCTCCTGCTCTGGCGACCTTTGCTTGCTCCGTCCTTATCCGTTGAGGGTCCTAGTGGTTTGTACTAAGTCCTAAACAATCTCCAACATTTATTTTAAGCCTTTATGCATTATTAAACAGAATTAAAATAAGAAATCATGCATCTAGATTCAAAATCAAGCAAACCCATAAACCTAAACATACGTATTATTTTTAATCCGTTTAAACATGCAAACATGGTCGTTTTTACTGTTTAATTATCCTAGAATTGACCTAGGCATGTATTGAACATATGGATGGCAACGGGGGAGGGTTTGGGCGGGTGTAGCCCCGTCTCGGCCCAAAATCGCAAAAACGGGGGAATTTTCTCCCCATCCCTGTAACCGTTTAACATTTTTACCCCCGCAGGTACCCGCCCCTCCCCGTTTAAGACCATAATTTATTTATTGTTGAAATAAATTTGCTCTTTTTTTTTCCCATCTTCAATTCTTCACCATTGCAACTTTCCTTATAATCAAATTCATTTGTAACTTTAATATTGTTATATAGGATACTTAATATATAGTGGTAAATATATATACTATTGAAATAAAGGTACTTAAGTAATTTGTCTATCTAAATGGAGCAGGGTGATGCGGAGCGACCTCCCCCTGCCTCTGTACCAAATCCGCGCGGATTTTTATTATATGAAATCATCCCCATCTATATAAGAAAAATGGTCTCCCAAAACCGTTAAAAACGGAGCAGGGCGAGCCGAGTAACCGAATTGCCATCCCTAATTGAATACGTAGTCAAAGGAAAAAAGTATAAGAAGAACTTGCCTTAAGGTTTTTGGGTTAAAAATCTCAAACTCCTTCTTCTGTGTTCTTCCTCTGTTTTCCAACGACTCTTGGGTTGCCGTCGAAACCTCTGCTGCTCCTGGTCTAGCCCACGAGACAGCCTTCCTTCCTTCCTCTTTTTCTCTTTCATATCCTCTCTGTATCTCGTCTCTCTCTCTCTGTTTGCGTGAATAAGGTTTTCTAACTCTTTAACAGACACACAATATATATATATAGGAACAAGGAGAAATATATATATATTAATGTTTATACGTATAACATTAATATATATATAACTGACTAGACTATCCATATATTATTAATAATTATTATTATTATATTAATAATACCGATAATAATAATTGTAATATCTTTATATATATATATATATATATATATAACACTAATACCCATGGGTCATATCCTTACACATCTAGGTTTCCTATCTAAGTAGTCCGTGTGACCCACTTGGTTAGTCCATTACTAATATCCAAATCCATCTCCTTTAATTTAAAATAAAAATAAAGTAAAAAAAAATTAACCTAACAAATAATTACACATCAGGTAAACAATTTTACACAATTAATTATTTTAAATGCACACAATTAATTCACATAATTCAAATAAAATATTTAAATCAAATAAGCACATAATCACATAGCCACATAATCAATTTAGAATGCAAATAAAATAAATAATAAATTCAAGTAAAATTCTTTAAAAATTAGGGTATTACATAAATACCCGGGGGTATGGTACACGAGGTAGAGGCAGTCACTGGATCATGGATTTAGTGGTGAACCCCACCACATTCAAGGGGTGGGATGACCCGTAGGTATGGTACCCGGGGCAGTGGGAGCCATTGGATCATGTATGTGGTAGTGAGCCCCACCACATCTAAGGGGTGGGATGACCCTGAGGTACCATATGGTCAGGGTATTTAATATTTGCTCCTAGCATAGGTATTGAGCGGCCGCGTCATTGAATAAGGATGTACATTTATACTTATCCATACATCTTATTTTCCGAGAAAGAAGAAAGAAGAAAAAAAATAAAAAATAAAAACCATCCCAATATTATTCTAAATGTGTACTCTTATTATTATTATTGACATATAGCCCATTACAGTTTTAGCTTATGAACAAAATGTTGATTATTTGTGAATTTTTTGAAGGATCATTGTCGCGTTGTTGACAGTTTTCGAGAGAATTGGGGATATATTCGTTTCATGGTATGTCACACAAATGTCTTTCAACATTTGTAGAAATTTGGTGGTATCCTTTTTTCTGTTCTTTTCTTCTTCTTCTTCTTCTTCTTCTTTTTTCTTTTTTTTTTTTTTTTTTTTTTGGGGGGGGTAAATAACTTGTATGAACTTTTGTGAAGGTTGCCATTCTATGGTGAGGCGAAACTAGTACTCTTCATCTACTTATGGTACCCAAAGACAAAGGTAAAGTGCACAGATGGTTTGAAGGATGAAGTTCATTTTCATGGAATTTGGGCATATATGATGATGATGTTTTAATGAACAAAAACGTGTTACCTTAAAAATGTAGGGAACTGCGTACTTTTATAATACCTTCTTGCGGCCTTATGTATCAAAGCACGAGACAGACATTGATAGGAACTTACAGGAGATGAGAGCTAGGGCTTGGGATTTGGCCATTTACTATTGGGGAAACTGCACAAAAATGGGGCAGTCAACAATTGCCCAAATTATTCAATTCTTGCTTTCTCAATCTTCAAAAGTCTCAAACGCCACCAATGAGGTATAGTTTTCTTCTATTATTTTCCCCCTACTTTGGTTGCCATAATATTATCACATTCACACCCTTCTGAGGTTCATCTGCACCACTACCATATTGCAAAAATAGTTATACATGGTGTCAGACAATACCATGTTATTGGTATAACTAATCAATTAAAATGTAGAATTCAAGGTGCCCCCAAAAACTTATAAACTTGAATTGAACATTTTGATTGATTGGACACGTCAATAACTTAATATATCGGGGCACTCTAGATTTACTCGTTAAGAAAGAACCATGACATTTAGACATGATTACACAGTTAAACCCCACCATATTAGACCAAGAATTAATATTTCTGTGTATGGCATTGGTTATGCTAATTGTTCTTTTGTTTCTTTTTTTCTAGTCATACGTGTCTGTAACACATGAATCAATTTATTCATATTTTTTTAAAAAAATCAATTTTATTCATATTTCAAAAAAAGAACCAATTTATTCTTGTGTTACAGATGTGTCTATAACACAAGTTAGAGATGAGAGATAGAATCAATTTGGCAGGCAAAGTAAAAGTAGGCCACATGAATTAGCATTTGTAATTATGCATATGTTTATAAGCACAGTAGTAAATACAAACAAAACAATTTGGTACCAACCAATATATGGATTGGCATTTTGTATTCATTCATATGAATATTCATCTTTTTAGGCACAATAAAAACAAAAATATATGTACAGGTAGCACCCAGCCAGATACTAAATTTTTGACATCTTACTAACAAGAATGGAGTTAATCAACCTTTTGCAGAAGGCTGAGAATCACCATCCTACTTCACCACCATCTAACAAGCAAAAACAACAGTCCGACAAGAATCGGCCACCATTGCCCCCAACCACGCCGACAGCCAACCGCTCCGTTGCCCCCGAACCAAAATCTACTACAGCAAAAGTTCACCTCCACAGCCAAGCTGAATTCATACATTCCGACAACACCAACGCCGATTCCGTTAACGGACTCAGTTCGACTGCTGATTCAGAACCCGGATCCGAGCTACATGCTGCCCGACTCAGGCTAAGGCGCTCTAAAGGACTCAATTGACGAAATTATTGTACAAAAAAACCCAAAAAAAAAAAAATCAACTAAAGACTCAGATTTATTTCTAAATTCGTCTCCATTTTCTTTTTTGGTTTTCACATTATTAAAACTTGCATTTTGCAATTTTGGCATTCCAATATAAAAACTAATATTTAGTCAATTATTGAATTTATTAAACAAAAGAGTTTCTTTTTACCGGTTATCTGGAACTGGGGATCCGAATGGCTCGGAGCAAGCGATCGAAGGTTCGGGATAGGGTCGGGAGAATGTGGCAGTTGATGAGGCTGAGGAAAGCGGTGGCTTTGAGGCGGAGTCTGCCGGAGATGCTAGCCCACAGGCGGTGGAGGAAGTGGCGGCTGGAGGAGTCCGGCGAGATGGACATGGGTCGGAGGTAGGCCCAGGCGGCCTGCTTGACGAGGCGGTTGCGGATGGAGATCTCGTAGCCGGATTGGACGGTGGGGGAGTTGACGGCGGTTGAGGGGAGGACGTCCTTCAGGGAGGTGTAGGAGAGGGGTTTGATGGAGATAAGTTCGAAATCGACGGTGGGAAATGACTGTGATGAAGATGATGATGATGCTGAGGAAGAGGAGGTAGTGGTGGTGGTGGTGGTGGTGGGGAAGCTGGAGGCATGGTGGGGAAGTGTTTGGAAGGTGAGCTTTGAGGGAATGACCAACGATGTTGCGATTGAGTTTCTTCGCCGAAGGGGTGTGATTGGTGTCGTCGCTTCCATTGATTGACTCTCTCCTCTCTTCTCTCCTCTGTCTGTAGACTATATACGCCGGTTTTTTGGAATTTTGGGAATGGTGGAGTAACGCAATTATTGGCGTATATTCACATTTGATGCGAGTTTTACGCCATTTGACTATTATTTTACTACGGTACGGAGTAGATTGCTACGAATGGCCCACTTGCTTTCTTTAACCACGTTCTCTCTCCATACAAGTATATAAAGCAAATAGTCAAATACAAAACAAATTAACACCTACTCTTTGTTAGAATTGCATTGCTTTGTGAGGAGGACAGTGTATGTCCACTGCCTATTTTGTTTGAAACCAAAATTTTTAGATTTGGAAATATAATTAGAAAAGGTATTATTCGATTGTAATTAAAATAAGATTATATTTGCAGTTTGGAATAAATTGGAATTTGTAAAAAGGAAACTTGAGAAGAAAAAAAAATTGTACCATTTTGGATAAGTGATTAAAAAACGTGTGAGTGATAAGTGATTTTGGATAAGTGGTTTAAAAACGTGTGAGTGATAGGTTGTCATATATTTAAATTCCTTCATTTTTCTCCGGATTTCCTTATATTACAATCTTTGTTTTCAAATCCAATTCCTTTTTTAAATCCCATTGTTCCATTCAATTCCAATCAAATCCCGGGATTCCAAGCACAGCAATCAATTTTTAGTATTATTTGACTATATTTTTCTGTTAGTATCTAAAATCAGTAACATGAAAAGCATTAATTTGTCTTATTTTAGTAAATTTTCTTTGACAGAGAGTGTAGTTAAATAGAGTTTATACAAAATGATGTGGATCAATAATAAATTAGCATGTGATCTTTAATTATCAAATTAAATATGATGGGTATATATTCACTTACCATCTATGATTTAATAATTAAAATAGGTTGTTATTTATTTTACTATTCCGTATTTAATACCATTTACCCAATTTTCCCCTTTAATTTAGCAAAACTATGAGAAAGTACAATTTTATATATTATATATTGAGAAAATAATAAACAAAAAATTTGCCAGACACTTCTCAAAATTGCACATTGTGGCGTGATGTTTTTTCAACTTCTTTCAATTCTCCATGTATTGTATAGTGTATATTCTGAATTGCATTTTAAGTTGGACACCCATTACCATAAATTATTAATGTTGCAATCCCAATTTTGCTCGTTTTGAATAATATTCAGTAAATAATTGACAAAGTTGGTCAACCAAAGACTATATAATACAAGAGTAAGTCACGTAGAGAAAGATAAGAATGGAGGGCAACTAATATATAATATTGATCGAAAATGCTAGATTCCTACTGCAACTAGTCAGAGAATAAGAGGGAAACACGTAGATAGAGAGATAATGCTGTGTTTGGTCCACCGTTATGAGTAATCTGAATGAAAGCAACAATTTAGAAAAGAAAACAAATTATCAACCACTTGTTTTTTCTAAGCTATGATTTGGTTTATAAAGGATTGGCGGATATTGATGTTGAGCGGCTGGCTATAAGAGTCGTGAGTTTCTTTTTCCATGTTTTTGTGCCCATTCGGCTGCTCACGTTGTGTGATTTTCCTTCACAACTGTCCGTTTCTTGCAATTATGGCTACATTTCAACTTTACTAATGCAACTCTCTTCAATAACTGTATTTTGTCTCTTTATTAAAGATAAAGATGAGGCTAATAAACATTTAATTTCAAAATAAAAATAAATAAATTCCATCGAAATATATTTATTTTTTTAAAAAAAAATAATTTTATTATTTTCATGATTTTGAATTTAATTGTAGGAAAAAGAGAGGAAAAAAAAAAAAAAAACATGGTTTGACCATGTCAAAATGCTATCAACTGAAACAAATAATTTGCTGTGACTTAATAATGCAACAAAATACTTTTTGCGTGTTTTGCAAATATCATATGGCTTACTTCGAAATTGAATTGCTAAGCGTGTTGAGAAATAGAAAAGGGAAAGATAATGCTTGGTGATTGTCAGTCACTCAACTTACTGGCCATTTTAAAGTGAACGGCTAGAACACTAAGTACAATCATTTTAGTGTTCATCTAATGGTTTAAAAACCTAATTTCAACTATTATGCATTTATAAAGAATTATCAATGCCGATTTGATCAATGACAATAACAATAAACTTTTTAAATATAAAAAGAATTTTAAGCAACAAGAAAAATATTGTTATTTTAAACAACAAAATATTTTTGATTTTATTTAAAATTTATTCACGCGCTAGAACGAGGTCTAAAAGGGAATCACATTACAACCCTAAAAAGTAAAATACGAATTATTATGATGATGAAAATGAAATGAAAAACATTGAGTGCAGGTGGAAAATAGGCCTTACCTTTTAGAAACTGTGGAGCTGAGCTGGTCACCAAATATTAGCATCCTATCCGGAAGCTTCTTGCCGAACCCAAAGGGTCATTCGACTCATTCCAGCAATGCCATCCACAATTTTATATAGATCTCATCACTTTTTCAACCAGTTTACCAAATATTCCAAGCTTTACGTAGTCGCTAAAGGTGACAATTCGTATTCGTGGATTGTGGGCCGAACCCAAAGGGTCATTCGACTCATTCCAGCAATGCTATCCACAATTTTATATAGATCTCATCACTTTTTCAACCAGTTTACCAAATATTCCAAACTTTACGTAGTCGCTAAAGGTGACAATTCGTATTCGTGGATTGTGTTGATATAAAGATATTATATTAAATAGGTAAATCCAAACCCAATCCATTTAATAATCAAATCAAAAATCTCAACACTAACCCAACCCGCTTATTAAACAGGTAATCGTGTTAACCCGTTTAATAACCTGTTATTAAAACGAGACATTTAATATTTAATCAAATACTAAATAAAAAATAAATAAAAAAAATTGTCATAATGAACCCAAATATTCAAAATAAAAAAAAAAATCATAAGATATAAACAACGGTTATGTTAAAATAACTTAACTATCCATAATAATTAGATTTAAACAAGAAAAATATTACATAGATTATATTCACGATTATAATATGTTGAGTTAAATAAATCACAAACGAGTTACATGAGTTGAACCCCTCAACCCTAACCCGACACGATTAAGTAAACGGATTAATCGTGTCGACCCTTTTATGACACAAACCCATTTATGCCAAACCTAAACCCTTTTAACTCGTGTCGCATTCCTGTCGGGTTGTCGTGTCGTGTCGTGTCATAATTTGACACCCCTAGTAGCCACACAAATAAAAATATATATTATAATGACAAAATTCCAGACCTTTTCTCCATGGCCGGATCTAAAATTTTCATGCCAAATCAAAATCCAACTCAATTCAATTAGCTTGAATTTGGAACTTCAAAAGAATGCAGTAGGACTAAACTCCAATTATCTAACTCAAAAGGTTACAAACAAGGGTGGGGCAAGTTAAGCTCAACTCTGTAACTAACGCCTCACTTGGTGGTCTCTGAGTTAAAGGTTAGTCTACACACAAAACATCAACTCCGGAACACTACACAAGTGCATTTTCTATCAGTTTTTGAGTCACGTGTCAAAAATGAGAGATGAGATCATAACAAAGCTCTAAAATTACAATGTCTATCAATGTGACAAGGCAACTTCGGAATTACAAACATTCTGCATTGCATCTTACCTCTAGCTTTTCATATATCACCTCCTCCGTAATGCTGGAAGGCGTTGGCATCTTCCAGTGCCAATTTGCCAACTTGACAATTTTATCAGTGACATGAAATAGAAACTGATGGTTATGGAAAGCCACATGAAGTAGACTCAAAACTCAATTTTATGATAACCATATTAATTGTAGTTTTAATAAGCTCAGTACTGAACAGCCATCTCAACCCAACAAAACAACAAAAAGATAAACAAATAGATGTTTTACGTATCAGGCTTGTTCAGACCTGAGTACTCTTGCCACCCAGTACTGCTATCAGTGAACCTAATGCACTCTGAACGGTGTTGCACATGTAGACCATGAACTTCTTTCAGATTCAAGTAATAGAACACCTGCCAGCAGTGAACACATCACAAGGATGCAGATATGATGAAATTATAAGTCTACTTAAGTTGAACTTCAATTCATGTGTGTTGTGTGTGTTTGCATGAGCACACCCATGATCCACCAGAGAACAGGGAAAGACCAAATCAACTTTTATTCATCATTGAACCACAGGCCAAGTATATGTTTACAATATAGCGGTTACCTCTGACTTTGATGCCTCAGCTTCTTCCAAAAGCTTCCTCAGTGCTAATTCATCAGGCAACCTGTGAGTTAACTTGATATATAGCTCATTGGACAATCTAATCACCTCTATGTAGGGTAACAGCTGTAGATGGTTCGTTGTGACCACAAGATGGTGGCGTCTGTGGCTGTGGATTACCAACATCAGCAATTCCAAACTCCTCAGGAAGCATATCCACTGCAGTCCATTCAATGCCAGCTGTGGTTGGAACTTGGAGTCAAGGATTTAGCAACAATCACGCTTGCTGAAAATATGCAAATATAAGAGAAAACTGCTTTGAAAAAGGATACAGTCAGTCTTCCACATGTCTGTGATGCTAATATCTGCTGCATCTGATAGAAGCCAGTAATCTGCATCATTCTGCAATGAATACCAGAAAATTTACTGCTGTTTTAAAGAGGTAAGGGAAAATTTGCAAGAAAATCATGAGGAATTCGTTTTAAATCATTAGCAAAATTATTAGAAATCCAATTTTACTCTATTTCTTTGGTTGCAAAGCTTGCAACAAAATTATTACAACCCACCAAAAATACCCTTCTGAGAAAATTAGAAAGACTTGACCATGACAGAATTAAAAACTGTCATACATCCTTTTGGGTAAAAGACAATCCCAAATTAGCTCAAATCTTCTTACATATGGTGAGATATTCTTTTAAGAAACATCAAATGCTAAATCAAATGGCGCAAAATCATATGGTCAAGTTCATTGACCATGACAAAATTCTTATGTGGTCTATCCAATGGTGGGTCTTTGCATCACAGAAAAAAGTCCCAGTTGGATATCATGTTTAAGAATCTATTCTTCAGATTTGAGAATTTAAGACAATTAATTACCGCATGGGTTTATGGTAGTCTAAATATACCTAAACATTTATTTTGAAGGTTGACTCATGAACAAACTTACATCAACATCTGAGGGAACAATTTTCCGAATCCCCCCAGCATTGTCCTGTGAAACATTAAGATCAGAGCCCATTCTATGACCTTGTGCCTGTGCTTCGATCTCCACCCCACTGCTCCCCACATGAGCCACCTCTGCTGTTGTATTCTCATTAGAACCAGAACTTGAAGCAAGAGGGATGCTCATGGATGGGTCAACACCATTCATCTCCTCAAACTTCTCCTCAAATTGACTAAAACAACGGTGAAGGTTAAAAAAAATACAGAAAGAAAATGAGAATCACTTAGCTTTCAAGAGAACACTTAATTTAATTGTGCACGAGTATATGTCCAAAAAGAAGCTGACCATACCTGACAAGGTAAACATCAATTGGACCCATTGTGCTTCTAAGGATTATTCTGTATCTCCTCTGTGGATAATCAACAGCCTGGTATACATAGAAGCAATTCCTTTCATGCATCAGAAACTCTTATGTGGAACATCACTTGAGCATTTCTCTCCAAACTTACCTCATCAGGATCTGGAACTTCAAGAGTGGTCCCATGTGGAGCTTTAATTGCAATCAGTGTCTCATTCTGCTAGAATTAAATCATCAGAAGCTCATTTACAGATGAGGTTAAAAAGTAATAAAGAATACGAAATCAAAGGAGGGATATGATCAAATTTCCCTTGATAAAGGGTGTTACACATGTAACATAAGAGATAAATATACAAACTGACCTGAAAGCAGGGTAGGCCCTTGATGTCTTCTTCAGTCACAAAAAGCCACCTGAAACAGTTGGAAGATGAACAAAAGTATCATTGAGTAGGTAAAATTGTGCAGCTCAATTAAATAACTGAATCAAGGGTACGAAGGAGAAATTTTACTTCTGATTGTTTTCATCTTCACTCAAATCTCTTAATCTTTCCTGCATTTCTCTGCAACAGTCTGGAAGCATCAGCACAATCCAGTGGTTTCAAGATAACAACATTGACTGCTATAATAAGGAAATAAACCATATGACCTTATGCGGTCATCTAATCTTTGTTCTTCTATAGAAAGGTTTGCTACTTCCGCCTGCAAAATAAAAGGGAACAAAAAATAAGATAAAGTCCATCTAGTTTCATCAACATAGCATATTATGATGGATAAAAGATGTCATGGTCAACTCGGCAATAATTAGATATCAAGAAGTATCCCCTAGCAATAAAGAATGGGGATTGACCAATTGAGATGAAAGAATATAGAATAATCACTAAATATTAAAAATGAGTAGTCATAAATATTCACATAACAGAAAATAAATGTTGCAAACCTGTAAAATACTAGCATTGTCATCAACCTCCTCTGGTCTTGAAGCATCTAGTCCCCTATTTAGTAATTTAATAAATCCTCAAACAAATTCCCTAAATCAAATGCTTACTACAATCTAAAACCAGTATCAAAGTAAAAAGCAAAAGGCATAATATCCTTCAAACATATAAAACAAGCTTACTTCCAGCGGATTCTATTCTTGAGCTTCTTTTCAATAAGACCAATTCCTTCGAGGACATTTGTTATGTCATATATCCGCCTCTTCTGCACCTGTATCATTAGACTATTCAATTAACATTGTCTGGCTGCATAGTTTATATACTTATCTAGCAAATAGAATACCTCCAATGTGTCAGCAGCTTTATTTAGATCAAGAATACCATCTTCTGCATGCTTGATCAGGTTGATGAACTTTTTTGTTAAAAGACCTACAAAGTCATGGAATGTATAAATCAATCCTAGGTACTAGGGCAGGAGTGAAATTGTTTGTAATCCATATATATATAATTATACCTAAAGAACTAATCTTAATTTCAACCAGTTAGAAATTACCTAGGGAGCTGTCATAACGGCAGTTGCCAGCAGGAGTAAGAGTAGACGGAGAACCTGCATTTTGCACAGGAATTTTATTGCTAATATATTTATATGTATATATATATATATTATATTCCTGCTGGTGCTGGGTGGTAAAGATCATCCAACATACAAGTAATATTGGGTGCACTGTACACAAATATAAGAAATTGGTTCCTACTGTATAGTGGAGTTTGTTTCCAAGGACCATGCTCTCATTGCGGTTCATATACAAGAATTACCAACAAAATAGTGTTTATCAGCATAAATATATGAATGGCTAATCTCACCAGCATTTGACATTGGGGTCTGAGGCCCAGTATTGCTCTTTGAGACCTTTGACCGGCCATATGTCCTTCCTACTTTTCCAGATTCAGGTGTTCCAAGGGGACTGTTGACAGTATTGGTGTATCCAGGGCTGGCAGTCCACTCACTAGACTCAACTTCATTGTAGACAGTTCCACTTTTCCGCTTCAATTGCTGAGAGACGAGATTAAATTTGCTGAGTTGGAATAAGTCTTCAAATGAAAAGGATTCCATTCATGAAATAATATTGTAATAGAATAGAGTTGTGGATTTGTGATGTGAGGTTTACTGATGGTTGCAAGTTACAACCCAAACTTAAGGAGCAGGTTAGAAAATGCGACACAGCAAAGAAACTGTAAGATCTCCCTCCCAGTTTTAATAGTTTAGTATTGAATGTATCATAGGTATTGCAAGCACAACTCGCTTCAGGAGAATATCTCATCACACTTAAATAGTAAAGTTAACAGTTCTTTCAGGAAAGAGAGCAAAATAGTTATAATAAAATTACTTACAACAAATAATTAACACCTAAAAGATACAGCTTGCAACAACCATGTTAAGAGATAGTACAAGCTCATTTACACCATCTAAAAAAGAAAAGTTGAAACCAAGTTTACTACCACTATGAATGTTCAAAAAATAGAAGGACATGTTTAGGGGGACATGTCAATATTGTCCTGCAATCTTATGTTGCCTTCATTCACCAATGAGTCAGATTGGACCAAATCTTAGCTATAAATATATATTTTGGATTTTCTAAACCTCCCTAGAAACCCTTCACATTCAACTATGTAAGATCTCACAAAGGTTTTGTAGCTGCGACAATACCAGTGATAAGATAACCATATAAAGTTATAGAGATTCTACATGACTATCTTCAATTTAAACTGATTTTCTTAACCCTTATTTAAGTTCTAGCTTCAAATAATATTTTGGCCCTTTTTCCAACATATCCTTCTTTTAACTGCCTCAGTTACTAGAGCCTATCATTTATCATACGAAGTAAGAAAGCAATGACATTTGCATGCTCCTTCACAAGACATTAATTTGGGAACACCCAACTCACTCCTTGATCTGCCAATTTATTCTGTAAGCAAGCTGATGATTTTTCCTTTCTTGTATTTCCAATTTTCCATATAGATAATTCACAACATTCACCAGATATTGGTCATCCAGTTACATTTTCCCATTCTTATGTAATACATTTGGCGATCGCATGGTAATGGCATACTCAGTGACAGTGTGTAAACATCATAAATGTGTTTCAAATTGACTTTTCAGAGATACAAAGGTAACAACTTTATTTGTAGATCAGCCAATGAGAAGCGTATTGTAAATCCATTAAACCCTTAAAAAGTTTCTCAAGTATTGAGAAAAGGAACATCATACACAAAAAAAATTCAAATTGTAGATGAAAAGGAACGATCTTGTCTAAAAGACCATATCTAGATTTGAGCACCCAAAAATCTGACCACCCGGAGGTGTACAAAACCAACATTATTGACACAGGCCTTAACTAGAAATATCCTTTTTCAGTCCACAATAGTTTAGCACCTAGGCTGGAAAGGGCTATTCCAATCTTTCCTAAGCCTTTGCCATATCTAGCTTCATAATTACATAGTTCCCACTCACCCTTTTTCCAGTCCAAATCCAATTTCTGAAGTCCCCTTCTCAGCACTACAAGATCCAAGCATATCAGCCATCTTTAACTCAAAGCAATCTCACATGTCAAATTGTATAAAACAAATGATTAAAACCCAAAGGACGGACACCATTCATTTTAAGCCTTACAAAGTCAGAATCATTCAGGCCCATGCAACGCAAAACTCATTCCCGTGTCATCACCATTCAAATGGGGTAGGCCAAATAAAAACACACAAGTCAATCAATATTACTTGTTAGTAAATGCCTTTAATAATATGATTCTTGCACAGAATTATGAAGCAACAAGTAGCAAAAATCAAAGCCCTGGAAAACAACCCACCATAATTCTAAGGCTAATAAAAAATTGATAAAGCTAACACACCAATCAATTGCGAATTGATTCCAGATGATTCTATACATACTTAAAAGCTACCACAAAAAACTTAACAGATATCCTAATTTTCTGCCATTTAGCCAATATCAGCTATACCATTGACTCCTAAATCCAAAATCAGCTGAAAGTTAACAACTGACGAGAATTTTTATATATTTGTAAAATTGAAAAGCAAGTCCGCAGAGGAAATGGATGAAAGCATAGAGCAAGTGACAGTAACTCAAATCAACACGTAATCCAATCTGGTAAACTTGAATATATAACATTCCAGCTATAATTCGAATGTAACGAGACAAACAATAATCCACAATCATTTCACAATTAATAGCACAATAATTCTACACAAAACAGCAATTAACTAAACCATTATTAAACCAGGATAATACAGATAAGCAAACAATGAAATGAATTAGAAAACTCACAGGTGATTTGACCACTATAGCTTCAGCTTCATGATCGGCAGCGACTCTGCGAGTATCAGCAGAGGAGAAGCGGTGGTAATCCTCGTGAGGAACGAAAGGCGGCTTCATTGAGGAGAACGGAAGATGGCGCTTCATCGGTTGTGTACTCCGTCCTCCGGGCGACGCTGCTGCGTACGGCGGCCCCTGACCGTTCGAAGTTCTAGCGCTGGACATGAAAAATAAAGAAAGATCCAGAAATTTCAGAAATTTCTTGGGGATTGAAGAGATCAGAAAACAAACCCTCACTGGTCTTCGATGATTGAAGGATCGGGAAAGATTGTAAAGATTTGATGAGGGAGAGAAAGGAGAGGCGATTTAGAGAGAGAGAGTGGGGATCTGAGATTTTTAGAGAGAGAAAGAGGAGGGGGGATGGGGAGGGGTCTGGAGGAAAGTGGGTTTGGGTGAGAGCAGAAAAACGAGGGAAGGAGGGAATTTTAGTTCAGAAAGATGTGGAGGGAACCACAGACGGAGAAAATGAATAAAATGGGTTGTTTTGCACTTTTGCCCCAGTATTTCCAACTTATTGCATGCTGACTTTATGTCATGTATCTTGTTACACATTTTGAACATCTCGAAAGTGTTTGAAAAAAACAATATCCGAAAAACATATATACCAAAAAAATAAAACATAACAAACAAGTCCATGAGGCGGAAATATATATATATATATATATATATATATATATATATATATATATATGTATGTATGTTTGTTTAAGACGTAGCAAAAACATATATGGATAATATTCTATGAGTAAATTTATTATAGTTGAAAGACATTTTGAAACAATTTTATCAACGATTTAATCCAATAGTCAAATAGACTAGTAAAATGTACATTCAGGTAATTTTTTTTCCCTTCTTTTTACTTACTAGATAGCATGGACTGATAAATAATTTGAGTGATAGAATCAATCCGCATTAGAAAGTTTTGTCAGCTTCTAATTTGTTAGGTATTGCAAAAAAAAATGACAGACTGCTTTGTAGCAAGGCATGGATGGAAAAAAATGACTATTTAATTATGCAACGCATGCCATCTACATAAGAAGGGTGATCTAAAATTGCCATTTGATGCATGTTGGAACCAAGTAATTTCTTGAAAAATGATTTTTAATAATTGCAAGCAAATAAGAATTGGGGTTAGTATGTGATTAATTTGTAAGAAGTCTCATCCAAAAGTTTGCTACATAAACATGATCCTGCTAGGGTGACTACTTTGTAGGCTTTTATTTTGGATGGGGGCATCGATGCAAATATGTAGACTGTCTAGCTGAATAATATGAATATGAAACATTAATGAGATGGATATGAGATTAAACAAAAGTTTTGGGGGCAGTTTGAGGAAAAAGAAGCAGAAAAAAGTAAAAAAATAAAAAGTGTAAAATGGATACGGCGATGCGCGCCTTCTCCTTGTCTCGACTTCGAGCGGCTTCGGATTGTTTGGCACTCACTTCTGACGCCTCCTTTTGCCCCCCTCTGTGTCTCAAGTCTTATCAAACCCTAGCAAGGTTTCCAGGACACACGGAGGCTGGTGCTACCTCCTTTGATCTCGTGCCACGTGGCATAAGCATTGCACCTCAACTACACGGGGACTAAATAGTTCATTTACTATTCTTCGCGTGACCGGCAACCGTTGGACTTTTAATTTATTTCGGTAGGGCCAATGCATCGCACATGATAGGTCTTAATAAAGGTGTTCTAAAACTGATTTAATTTCAAAAATCACGTCTCCGTATATTATTATCAATGTCACTTACACTCAATACAGATTCATCTCTCATTTTTCATTGATTTCACTCACTCAATTTATGTTCTTAGCCACCGCATTCGCATAATTTCAACAAAATCAATTAGTAAAGGGCTCCTACACAATGTAATAAGGTAGCCCACGATTTGAGCAAATTGCCCTTCTTCAAAAAGTCACTAATCTAAGGTGGGATGTTTGGTCTTCATATCCATCGGATGTGCTCTCCATATATCTCCAAAAAATAAAATAAAAAAGAGTAAAGGACGCAATCAATAACATTTACACATCAAATGATTCACTTTCAAATTTCAATATCACAAAATTTACACACATCTTTTACGAAGTTAAAATTGAGTGATGTTTATATTTAAGAGTATTGAATCGGTACTTGAATTTAAAATTAGAGATAATTTGATTCAGAATTTAAATTCAATTTTCTTTAAATTCAATATATGAAAGGTTTTAATGGATAATATTAAAGAAAATTTGTGTCATTTTTGTGGCCTTGATTTCACTTCTTTACAACTCTTCCTCAACTCAATTGCATAGTTGCATTCAACTGGATCATACTTGTAAGGAAGGTTTAAGGATTGATAATGTTAGTGAGAAAAATGTTTAATTATTATTGTCATCGTGGATGAATTAAATTAATCAATTCAAAATCAAGACAGATCAAAGCAATTAAATGATTAAGCAATTCTATAATGTTGATTGTGCTTGGAGAGAAATAAATAATTCTAATTCTGCTGTTTTGAAAAAACAAATAGAAAATCACAATCAAGAGTGAAAACAATGTTCGCATCACTATGACGCCTCTCCAAACATTAAACTTAGAGAGGTTCTTTATTTTATATATCACGCTAAAAACTTACTATATATCACCCTATCGTATTTTTTTTTTTGACTTGTGTCGAGGGTCCTATAACACAAGGTCAAATTAAATCAAATGCAGGTGGGTAGCTCAAGTACCTAACCTGTTGCCTACCTAACATATTTCGAGATCGACATTGGAAAATTTTCCAACTAGGAGAGACTGGCAATCCTAAAATTAATTTTATGGTAGTTAATTTGCTTTTTTTAAGGTAAATTATCATATACATTATATCAAGATTAATGTTTTCCCTACGATTAAAGTGTTATACTGTATTTCATTTCACTCGTACATGCATAAGTATTCTTACCGTGATGTTTGGGATGAGTTATATGTGTTATAATTTTTTATTAATAAGAAATACAATCGTATATATGCATGTGCAACGAAGGTGAACCATTGTGTTCGTCACAATCTTCGAAATACCACATCTTAAGAAACACGAATATGAATACATGGTGCAGATCGATAAAATGCGAACACAATAAATCTAAAAAGAATAAGGTACAAGCAAGGGAGGATTTAGGTTTATGTTTTGGTGGACTCTAGCCCACCCCAAATAAATAATAAATTTTTTTTTACTATAGGCAATCTTAACCCAGCCCAATATATATATATATATATATTAGTAGTATTAGCCTACACACAAAAAGTATTAGTCCACTCTGTACACAAATTTTATAGTCTGCAAATAAAAACAAAATATGGAGCAAAAATAATATTTTATTAAATTGAAAAAATTGGAGTACAACCCTCTATAATATTTTTTACAAATAATAAGGTCAAATAACAAGATCCTCTGATTCGATCTCCTTTTTTGGTTGGTTGGATCCAAGGGCTGTACAAGTTTGATCTTGAATCACCGTAGAATTTGGATGAAAAACGGCACGATTTGATGTGCTTGTTGTTGATCACCGTGGATTTGATGAAGAACGGCACGATTTGATGTGCTTGTTGTTGATCACAGTGGAATTTGATGAAGAACGGCACGATTGGTGTTCTTCGCCTTTAGGTTTGGACATTGGGGCAGAGTTTCTGTATTTATCTTTGAAATTTTAGATTTCTGAATTATGAATTTGTGTCTCCTTCCTCCTTCCTCCAGGCCTCTATTTATAGACTTCTTGGATTAATGGGATGATGACACGTGTCTTCTCCTGATAAGAAAAAAAAAAAAAAAAAATCATACCTGTGTCGGGCCGATTATATTATGATAATTATCCTTGAAAATAATTATTTCAAATATATTTTATTATGAATAATTATCTTTCCATTTAATCATCTGGGCTGGACTAATTAAATAATTTAAGTGGACCAAACTTGGGCCAATTAAATAACTTAATTAAACATTAGACCCATATTTGATAGGTCAATTTGTCAAAATAAAAGTCCATTAAAATTTTAGTGTCTACAAATTGCCCCCACTTCGATTCCCAGTTTGATCGGACTTGTCCCTAATTTTAAACGGGACTTGAAGTATCCAACCTGATTTTTGAATTTGTAAAATTTCATTTTTTTTCCACTTTTCTATCCAATTTCAAACGGGACTTGAAGTATCCAACCTGGTCTTTGAATTTGTAAAGTTTCTTTTTTTTTGCACTTTTCTATCCAACTTTGGATTAGAATTTTATTTTGCCATTTGAACTGAATTATACAAATCACAGTACAAATAAAAGATATTTTATTATCTATATATACCTATCCATGCTATAGGGTTAGACATCAATTCCAAAGCCTCAGAATACTTGTTAGATTGCAGCTCATGAAGAACTTCGCTTGCCTCGAGCAAATAATCAGTATGTCTTTTATTTCTTTTTCTTTTTCTTCTTTTCTCTCCTTTTCTTTTCTTTTTTTTTTTTTCCTTTTTTTTTTCTTTCATTTTTTTCTTTTTTTTTTCACTTTTTTTTTTTTTTCTTAAAAGGACTTGATTGGGTATAGCAACTTGATTTTGTCAGCTGTAGTAAAAATTGAAATCCTTCTTTTAGACAATACCGATCAAGCTACAAAATTTGTTTATTGTTCCATCATGGTGGTGTTCAAGTGTTTCGCAAAACAAAAGATAACTATCTTAGAGAGCGAAAGTGATTGAAGAGACCAAGGAACCACGTTAAGTTTATTTAACTCACTTTTCGGTCGCAATGCCATTCAAGTGCCTGATCCTAACAATGAACATTGTTCATCTCATTGGACATGCACGGCCACATTTGAATTCACCAACTTTGGTCTTGATCAGATTAATGAATGATCTATTGTCTCAGAAACCTTGATACTAAATTCTTCACTTCATGAGAGAGTTGTTGAAGAAAACCAATTTGCACTCTTGGGTCTCAATGTTCAGGCGAAAGAAGTATCATGGAGTATCCTTTACTTTCTGCTGAATTGCCACACACCGAAATACATTGGGAATTGTTAGAAGATGTCTTGGCGCGTTTCCACGACTTTTTATCAAAACAACAACTATATGGTGCTCTATTCGCCTCCCTATTTTCATATGATCGCCATGAAGATGTATTCAAAGCATTCATCAAATGTTGGTGCCCAGCCATTAATACTCTTCATGGTTTTATTGGCGATCACCATGGAGATGTATTCAAAACATTCCTCGAATGTTGGTACCCAGCTACTAATATTCTTCATGGTTCTATCGGCGAGCTGTCTTCATATGATCACCATGGAGATGTATTCAAAGCATTCCTTGAATGTTGGTGCCCAGCCACTAATATTCTTCATGGTTCTATTTTTTGCAGCTACACTTTGGCAATGGGCCTAATTTTTTTTTTTTTTTTTTTCCTTTAATGTACCTCAGGGGAAAGTCAAAGATCTTTTTTAACAATACCTCGGTGATGAGCAGAATTATTTTTTTTCTTTAACGACACCTCAATGGAAAGCCAAATTTCTCTTTTAGCAATACATCGACGGCGAACATAAATTTTTTTTCTTTGCAGCTGCAGTTCTGGCTACGAACCAAAATTATTTTTTACAACTACAATTCGGTGATATGCCAAGTTGACAGGGTGCAACGAACATTTTTGATATTGCATGATGAGTGACAATAATATCTTTATAGCAAGTAAAGTTGTCAAATTGAGACTAACCCTTTTGATATCTCGTGACGAACACACTTTGCCATTTTGCAACTCTAAGGATTTTTTTTTGCGTCATATGAACTTAGAATAAAATCCTAAGTTGCCTACGTACCCTCAAAAAAGGAATCAAGTCATCACGCAGTTCAATAGAGAAGAGACTTTTCGAAAAAATTTATACTCGTATCAAAGAGTTTTTTTTCCAAACAGTTTACACTCATATCAAAGAGTTCTTAATTTTTTTTTTCTTTAGACGGACAATTTATACTCGTGCCACTGAGTGTTGTTTTTTTTTTTTTTTTTTGCTTCAGGTAGACAATTTAAACTCGTGTCAATAAGTGTCAAATTTTTTTTTTTTTTTTTAGGCAGTTTAAACTCGTATCAAGGAATTCTTGATTTTTTTTCAGGTAGACATTTTAAACTCGTGTCAAGGAGTGTTTTTTTTTTTTTTTTTTTTATTTTTGAGACAGTTTAAACTCATATCAAGGAGTTCTTGATTTTTTTTTTTTTTTTTTCAGGTAGACATTTTATACTCGTGTTAAGGAGTGTTTTTTTTTTTTTTGAGACAGTTTAAACTCGTATCAAGGAGTTCTTGATTCTTTTTTTTAGGTAGACAGTTTTTAACTCGTGTCAAGGAGAGGTTTTTTTTTTTTTTTTTTTTTTTTTTTTTTTTTTTTTTTTTTGTTTTCAAGTTGACAGTTTATACTCATGTCGGGAGTATCATCGACAGTTTAGGCTCATATCTGGGAGCACTTCAATTCTTATTATTCTTCAACTTTGCAAGAATCAGACGGCAATCCAAACCTATGCTGAAGGGTATGGACTATCTCGCCATCACTTTGAGGATTTTCTTCTTGGTTTCCTTGACTTAATGCCCCTTGTGATTTAGCACCTTCGATTGAAGTCATTGTTGTAGCATGGTGCGTTTCTTGATACAAGTCTCTCGAATTGATGCTTATAATGAAAGATGAAGCTACTTCGTCATCTGAGTTAGGAAGTATATTATTTTCTTCTTCGGACTCACTTCCCTCATCTTCTTGAAGGTTGTCGGGTATATCAGGAACATCTTCCCTAGTACCTTGATTTTCCATGCTAAACTCCATGTCATGGGCTCGAGTAACAGGCTCTTTAAATGTGCGAGGCTTAATCCCTTGTAGGATGTAAAGAAGCTCTTAGCGCATGCCTTGCATACATGCTTCAACTACATAAATTTTAGACAAATGATCCTTGCAGTCAAGACTTAGAGCTCGCCAACGGTTGATGTAGTTAACCACAGGTTCACCTTTCATCTGTTTTGTGTTTGTAAGCTCCAGCATACTTACAATACGACGAGTGCTGTAGAAACGGTTGAGAAATTCTCGTTCCATCTGCTCCCAACTGTCAATACCTCTAACTTTGAGGTCTGTGTACCAATCAAATGCATTCCCTTTGAGGGAACGAACGAATTACTTGACAAGATCTCCGTTTGTACCAGCATTGCTACAAGTTTCTACAAAGTGTGCAATATGTTGCTTGGGATTGCCTTTTCTATCAAATTGTTAAAGTTTTGTAGGTTGATACCCAACCGGCATTTTTAAGATGTCAATTTTTTCTGTGTAAGGCTTTAAGTACATGCGAGTACTTTGAGGAACGCCACTGTATTGTTCTCTTATGCAATTCACTATCATGTCTTGAAGTTGTTGGACATAAAGTGAAGTGACAGAGACAGCATCAATTGTTGGATTGGCGGACACATCATTTTGATAATCAATTGGAGTGTTCTCTGGCATGGAATTAGAATGAGGAATTCGGCCTTTGCTTGACTCAACATTGTCGTCACGCAATTTTAACTTTTCTGTCAGCGAGGCAATTTTTAGATCTTGCTCTTTGAGAGAGTGTTGCAATCTTTCAATTACACGAGCCATAGTCGTCAATTACTCTTCGTACGAGGTAGTACTTGTCATCATAACTGGCACAGTGATGGAGTCAGAAGAAATCTTTGTCCTTGGTTAGACCAGCATTGAACTTGAACTTGTGACTGGAGTAACCTTTGATGTTGCAGAAACCTTCCTCCTTGCCCCCAGCGAGGTAAAGGCGATATGAGTTTGAGTTTTTACTTTAACAGGTTTGGCAGAGTAAACTCTTATCACATCGTGCTGTCTTTTGGCAGGAATGGATGATTTGATCATGCTTCACATTACCAAACTTTGAGAGGTGTTTGTACCACTTAACAAAATTACAACCTTCTTGCCACCTTTTAAGGTGGTAATGATGTTGTCCGTCACGACTGTGATGTCCTTAGTGGTATTCTTACTCTTCGTCTGAATCTTGTTGGAAGTCATAGAATTTGACGATGAATTTGTTGAGGATTTGATGTAGGAGAAAGAAATGAGAGGCAGAGGAAGTCCCACCGGGCGTGCCAAAAATTTGTACACACAAATTTTATAGTCTGCAAATAAAAACAAAATATTGAGCAAAAATATGAAAAAATTGGAGTACAATCCTCTGTAATATTCTTTAAAAAGAATAACGTCCTCTGATTCGATCTCCTTTTTTGGTTGGTTGGATCCGAGGGCTGCACAAGTTTGATCTTGAATCACCGTGAAATTTGGATGAAGAACGGCACGATTTGATGTGCTTGGTGTTCTTCGTCTTTGGGTTTGGTTATTGGGGCAGAGTTCTGCATTTCTCTTTGGAATTCTGGATTTCTGAATTATGAATTTGTGTCCCCTTCTTCCTTCCTCCAGGTCTCTATTTATAGGCTTATTGAATTAATAGGATGATGACACGTGTCCTCTCCTGATAAGGAAAAAAAAATCATACCTGGACCCGGCCGGTTATATTATGATAATTATCCTTAAAAATAATTATTCCAAATATATTTTATTAGGATTAATTATCTTTCCATTTAATTATTTTGGCTGAACTAATTAAATAATTTAAGTGGACCAAATTTGGGTCAATTAAATAACTTAATTAAATATTAGACCCATATTTGATAGGTCAATTTGTCAAAACAAAAGTCCATTAAAAATTTAGTGTTTACAACCCCATAAACGATTCCTGAATTCGCCATTGGATACAAGTACAGCTGGATACGACAAAATAATAATAAATACATTTTACATATAAACAAATATAACTTTTTGTAATATTATAAATCTAAATAAAATCATTTATATAATGTAAGAATTCATTTTAAAACAAATAAATAAGCATTTCTAATCATCACTTAATACAATTTGGAATTTTCTTAACCACCATAACAATGTGTTTAATATTGTTGAAAAAGTCATATTTTAATGTTTAAAACTTGTTTAAAAAGTTTTTGAGAAGTATCCACAGGTCAAAATGCTCCCCTGAAAACTGCACAAATTTTTTGTTGGCACTCAAATTTGGCATTTTAGGAGTTCAAACAATTGAATTTTGTTTAAATACATTTTAAGCCACCAAAATAATAAGTGAGTGATGATATTTAGTCAATTTTGAATCCGATATGGTCTTTCGGGTCAAAATACTTGGTTAAAACTGCATGAATATCTGCTAGGCATGCAAATATGACATTGTAAGTGTCAAAACAATAAAATATTGTTGAAATACATCTTTAAGTCTCTAGAATAATAAGTGAGTGATGATATTTAGCCCATTTTATATCATATTTGGGTCATCGCAGGTCAAAACGCTCGATTACACAGCCAAAATATCTAAGAAATATAAAATATATATTGAAAATATATTTTAAAATTATAAATACATTAAAAAAGTGTCGAATACACGAATATGATACGAGTACGTAGCATCCTAGAAATATATTTACTTGGACCAAGTCTATATGTATTTACCTAAAAATGTTTACCTAGATTGCCGGTTTGTCCCAAAAGAGTGGAGCCGCTTTACCCGATATTCAACCCAGAGACACCACCAAAACTCCCACCCACTTTCTATACTACTTATCCGCTCAACAACCATATCTCCACCTTAGACTGCTAGCGAGCGAATCAGAGAACAATTGTAGAGTGAGAGAGAGGGGGATTTCGGCATCTCCAATGGCTTGCACAGCTGCTTCAACCACTCTTCTTTCTTCTTCAAACCCTAGGGCTTACATTTCCCCCAAATCTTCCCTTTCCAAGCCCTTCTCTCAATCCCCATCCACCCCCAATTCTTTCAATGGTTTCCGAAAACCCTTCCAATCTCTAGTCTCTCGTTCTATCGCCTCCCCCACATCTCACTCTAGACGGAGCTTCGTTGTCAGAGCTGTAAGTTTCATATTAGTTTTCCACCCTCTCTGTCTCTCACACACACATATTAGTTTCATATTTGGGCATTTCTAATGTTGACCGTTGCCTATTTTGCTCTCTCTCTATCACGTGGAACGCGTATTCACTCAGATTTTTATTTTGTTTTATTGAAGTAATTGTCTTCGGCTTAAATTTTCTGGGTGGAATTTATCCTTTCCAGGGATTTTATTTTTGGGTCCTAAAGCGATCTTGTGTTATGCTACATTGGACTTTAGAGCGCAATTAATGCGGAACTAATGTTTATTGTGTTGAATACGGGGAGAAATAATGTTCTGTTGTGCTTTTCTTTTTACTCTTGGATTTGAATATAGCATTCCATTACTAATTCCCTTTCACTCGTGTTTTTTATTTTTATTTTTTTTTGATAAGTAAAAATCTAATTAATCCCTTTCACTCGTTTTTTAACGTATATATTGTGATTTATTAGGTTTTTTTTTGCTCATGGCACATCTTTTTCCTTCTATTTGGTCCAATCATGGTTTACAAAAAGATACGAGAAAGGTTATGAAGTTTGGGATAGAACTTGCAAGTTTTTGTCAGGCTAAATAGAGTTTTTCCTATGTAAAATGCATGCTTTTCTTGAATGATGATGTTATTTTCTCTATAAATTTATATATTTCGTGTTATGTAATTGGTGCCTTGGAATTGACAGACCAATGCTAAAGGATGCTCATTTACTCAAAAATCTCCACTAAATTGTTAAGATGATTATAAAATTCAAGGGAAATCATTTGTGCTATGTTCGGTTGTATGGAATTGGTGCCTTGGAATTGGATTTGGAAAAAATTCAGTTTAAACTTTGAATTAAATTTTCTCAAATTCCAATTCCATGCAACTGAACATAGCATCAAAGTAAATGAGAAGACTGGGAGAGATTCATTAGAATGGCCAAAAATTAAAGGAAAGGTAAAAGCTTAGATGGTTAACTACAATTTGAAGAGTCTTGGCATTCTAAATCTGAAGCAATGCGTGTGTAGACTGAAAATGGTGTGGGATCTGGCCTGGAGCTTGCATAACATATATTACCTAGCTGACTGATAATGTCTCAAAGAGATGGGGATTTTCGAGCTGTACCACCTGCCTGCCTTTTTTTTCATCGTGTTCAAAAGGATTTGGCTGATGCCAGGATCCAGTCATTCTAAGTCTAACATCATTATCAATTTTAAACATATTAATTGTTTTTTACCAGATCCTATGTCCCTGAAGTAGATCCGTTGTCGCCCATTTGCTCTGATGGTATCCCATAATCAATAGACAAGAAAGGTTTAATATAGCATATTCTGTCATCAAATTGTTTAGAAATAGGAGAAATCAATAAATTATTTTATTTTTTTTGATAAAAAAACATTGCATGTTTTAAATAACTAAAGATTTAAAATCTTCTATTGTCTTATAACTTTGTATAAATTCTGCCTATCAAGTTTATCTGTTTCCCTTTCTTAGTTCAACTTCTGATGCATTCTCTGTCATGTCTCTTCTCATGTTCCTCTGTGCAGAGTGAACTTCCACTGGTTGGAAATTCAGCCCCAGATTTTGAGGCAGAGGCTGTTTTTGATCAGGAGTTCATCAAGGTAGTCTATAAAATCACAGTATTGTGAATGGCAAGTTGCATTCTTTGTCTTGTGTTTTGCGAATATTGTTTCGTTCTTAATATTATATATATTATTTTAATACTTGCTATACTGTGAGGAGTTACTATTATGATTGACTTTTATCAGTATGTGTACCTGAAAGAGTAGAATCAGCAAAAACATACTCACTCTAGTTAAACAGTATCACTTGCATGGTAATTAATTGATTTGGTTGTACCCTGGAGAGGAGTTAGGTACAAAAATCGACATTTACTCGCATGTAGCTCAGTAGCAGTAAAGATATTTATTTTCATCCGTGTACTGGTCAAAATCCATCGATTGTTACCATTTGAGTGATGTACAAGTTCCAACTGATTAAATGATATCAAGTTTGCCTAGAAAATTTAAGGGGAAAAAAAAGGACAAACAATGCCATGCCCAGTCTTCTTAACATCACGTAAGGGATGGATCCACATTGAAGGCAATGGGGGCAATTGTCCCCAGTGATTTTTTTTTTTTGTTTTTTTTAGTATTCTACCCTTATAATTTGTTCATTTTCAATAATATACCCATAAAATATTACATTTGCCCCCCCTAAAACTACAAAAAAATGCACTATTGCCCCTCAAAATTCATTTTTCACCCCACCCCCCCAACACCCACCTTACATCTTGGCTCCGTCCCTGATCATGTTTGTTTTCCAATTCAACACCCACCTTACATCTTGGCTCCGTCCCTGATCATGTTTGTTTTCCAATTCAACTTTGGTAATGGGCTGAATTGCATTGGGAAATCTTGCTTTGTACTTAACGTAATTATCTGTCAATTGCATGATATTGTAAAAAGCAAGCAAGGAAAGAAATGAAAACTCATATGTAATATCTAACTTTTAACTGCATTTAACTTTTTGAAATTTTAAAAATAGTTCTGTTCCTAGTAAAAATTGAGTTTGTTTAGTCCAGAGGTTTCTCCTAAGCACCACTTAATTTGTACCTAATATATTTAGTTTTGTTGATAATTGAGGGCTTGTTCTTGCAGGTCAAACTCTCTGAGTATATTGGGAAGAAATATGTGATTCTTTTTTTCTACCCTCTGGACTTCACATTTGTTTGTCCCACCGGTGAGTGTGATACTGAGCAGATATAATAATTTTATAGTGTGTATTATTTTACAGAATCAATTGTAAATTGAGGCCTGGTAGTTGTGGATGCTGAAATGTCATACTATTTCTTCCTTCCTTCTTGTATAGAGATCACTGCTTTCAGTGACCGTTATGCGGATTTTGAGAAGGTAAACACGGAAGTACTGGGGGTTTCTGTAGACAGTGTGGTAAGTTCTTTCTTTCTTTATTTCTTTTTCTTTTTTTGATGTCCTAATTCTTTAGTCTTTTTTCCTATGTTATGCCTCTTCTGATGCATTGATTTAAACTGTAAATTGAATACATCTGGGTTCACTTTTAATATCATAAGGAAGGTGATTACAAGTTCAGATGGGAAAGTCTGTTATTGGATGAACCTGAGTCATATATTCAATTGTTTTCACATGAGAACCTCCTTAACTTGCATGCCTATTAAAGAAAAGAAGCCCAATCTTTGATGCTTAATCGATACTTCCTATTGGGTGTACAAAATTTTCCACTCTTTAGTAATGTTTGGTCTTTATAGAGTTGCATGTTTCATTTTAAAGCATCCACTGTGTTCCTTTTATATTTTGACTCAGATTTATCTTCATGATTACCTGAAAATGTTAAACGATATTCTGCCTCTTCAGCTAAAGAGATAATATATATATATATATATATATATATATATATATATATATATATATATTTATATTTTATGCCTTGCTAAATCATCCTATAATGTTATATTGAGTGAGAGGCTGTCTGGTTTCTGGTTTCGTCTCTCCCACACTGATTAGAAAAAAGAAAAGAAAAAGAAGAGCCCCTCATCATCTAACAGCTAATAAAAGGGTTAATATTGGATACAATTTTTGTTCAGCTTGCCACATTACCCACATCTTTTGTTCAGCTTGTACCTTGATTGCCACTATAATAAATACCATACGGCCAAGCGTCCCCTTTGTTACTACCCACTTGTCTTCTTGTTCTTCCTCTTCTTTTTTGTTTTTTGTGTTCTTATTTTTGCAATGTTGAAAATCATCTACGTTCTTGTTCTTCCACTTCTCTTTGTGTTTTTTTTCCAATGTTGAAAATCAACTCATAACTCTACTCCTCCCTTTCTTTTCATCATCTTTATCTACTCTTTTTGTATCCCTAGCTATTATTTTTATGCCATATATGTTTATACTCTGAATAGATGCCCTACATGATCTATTTCCTTTGTAACCAAATTTTGCTTAATATGAGGGTGCTATATTTGAGGGCCTTACATGTGGTTGAAAGGAATGCAATGTCTGGCTATTCTTTAAATGTCCTTCAGCTTTGATTCTGATATAGAAAACATAGGTGCTTGAACTCCAGAAATTTCTGTGAAATTACCAATTGTCTTCATTTCAAATGAGATGAGGACATAATATGTTAAGAGACAATTAGGGATATGCTGCTAACCTCTATTAATAGCATAATAGAACGGCATTGCCCTTAAGATTTGTGTTATTATAGAAAGTACTATTATATATATATTTTTTGATAAGTATTACAGAAAGTACTTCGAGGTGCGCGCAAGCTGGCCTGGGCACCCACGATTGTAAAAACAAAAAAAGTATTACAGAAAGTACTGTTATCAATTTATCTTTTATTTACTTTTCTGAAACTATGAACTGCCTTTTTTTTTTATCAGAGTTTCTGGATGGTATAGGCATGGGGTCCCACTTCCTCTACCATTTATTAATTGTTATATTCTACCTTTGGTTACTCTTGTGCTGAAACTCGATATCTTTGTGCATCATAATGATCTTATGTAATTGTTCATGTAGTTCTCCCACCTTGCATGGGTCCAGACTGATAGAAAGTCTGGGGGGCTTGGTGATCTCAAGTATCCATTGGTTTCTGATGTGACCAAATCAATTTCAAAGTCATATGGTGTGCTGATCCCAGATCAGGTAAGCTTTATGTCATTATGAGCATAATTTCATCCTAGAATGGGTTTTTCATGTAAGTCATATATTGGGCGAAAGTGTTGCATGATTTTCCCCATACATACACTTATCAAGAAATGTAACTTTATAATTCAGTCATCCAATGAATTCACTTTCGTATAATGCTTTTCAGCTATAATGTTGAGATAATCCTGCTCCTATTTATGACGTCAGTTTTTCCCTCATCACTTGTAATAAAGAAACAAGATAGTCTAATACTGATTGCTTGTGCATCTTTACACAACCGGTCCCAAGCGTGAAAAAATGAGAGTTGCGATAGGTAGCTGGCAGCTTAAAACTATTGTCTGACCAATATGAACATCTTTGTGCATCTTTTGGTTCTTTTAGACTGTTTTATATTTTACATATTATTTGACTCCGTGGGGTGGGTAATATGTGCGTGGTCAAATAATGTGTTGAGACATATTAAACAAAATCATATACATATGTGTAATAAAACAAAAATTAAAACCATATACATACTCTAGATAAATTTACATATTAAGAGAAACATATGGCTCTGAGCTGGCTTGTCCCTTTGGTAAATGGAAATTCGGTGGTTTTGTCTCGCTGAACACGTTTTTAGTAACTCCAAATGATTGCTACATAAATCAGTATTGCAGTAATAAGGTTTAGACATGCTTCTCTCTTTTTGCATTACATTTTCCTTCATTATCTTCACACTCCATGCCACTATAAGTCTATAATCAGCTACATTTTCTCTATTTTTTTGATGTTCTATCTTGCAGGGAATTGCATTGAGAGGTCTTTTCATTATTGACAAGGAAGGAATTATTCAACACTCCACTATTAACAATCTTGCAATTGGCCGAAGTGTTGATGAGACAATGAGAACGCTCCAGGTAATTGACCATATATCGAAAAAAAAAGAAAAAAAAGAGAGTTTTGGATTTTGTTTTCATATTTTACCTATTTCATTGTCCTTGTCACAGATTAGTTAGTTTGCTATGCATTTTTGACGTGCATTGGTTGTGCAGGCATTGCAATATGTGCAAGAGAACCCAGATGAGGTATGTCCGGCTGGATGGAAGCCCGGTGAGAAGTCCATGAAGCCGGATCCTAAGCTCAGCAAGGAATATTTTTCGGCAATATGAGATGAATAGTACTGAAATCCTGGTAGCACCTCTGTTGGTTATATAGAGAGTTTCTACAGAGTTTTGTTTTCATCTACATGTTGTTTTTCCAAGTCATTTTGCTCACTTTGGAGCAGTTGTTTCTGGGAATGAACGAGTTGAACCAGATATGCCCCGTCTCTTAGAATTCATTGATGTAGCAAACTCAAGTTTCTGTGTTCTTCCCTCAAGCCTTGGATCGTATATTCAACTTCTTCAAAACTGAGTTACAACTTTCATTTTGATAAATCCTAAGGCTCCGTTTGTTTGGAAGAAAAATTTTTTTTTTAAAAAAATATTTTTCTTTTTTAGGTAAAATATTATTTTATTTTTATCTTTTCGGTGTTGAGATTGAGTTCATCGGGTAGGTATGTAAAATAACTTGTCGAAAATTAATGAATAAGTTATTTTTATTAAATTTTAATATTTTTTTTCTTTGTAAATATTTTACAACAACTAAACATCAGAAAATAAAAAAAATATTCTTTAAAAAATATTTTATGTTCAAATAAACGGAGTCTAAATGTTGAAAACAAGGTTGAAATAAAAAAGAGAAACATATAGAAAGAGGTTTGAGAAGGGTTTGTGATACACTCTTGCTTTTATAAACAAATCATTATCTATTACAAATATAAGTTGCATGAAAAAGAAAGGGAAAACTTAAAAACTTAAATGGTCTATTTTAAAAGTTAATTCTTTAATTTGATAGAATTATTATTAAGCAAAATAATTGCATGCATTGAGAATAATTGCACATGTCCAAAATGTTTGATAAGCTCTTATTTCAACATACTAAAGAAATTTAGAACCTATGAAATTTGTGCGGAAAATTTACATATTACATATATACACACACACAAGGGAAGGATCGTCGAAAGAACTTTTAAATTATAAATGGTACAATAGTAACAAATTTTTTATTATACAAAAAATACTGTAATTAATTTAGCCAAATGATGATCTCCATCTCAAGGCATGCACCATAGCAAATTAAAAAAAATCTATATATTTCTCACATTCGAAAAGTTTAATTATTTTCCTATAGTAACTAATCTTTAATTGCCCAAATTTTCACTATATTGGATTTTTTTATTGTTTGTACAAGTTTTCATATATAGGACGTAGCAGCATTATAGTTCAAACTCAACTTGAAGATGTTGTTTTTCTTTAGTGAAGAAATTATTTGATTTACGCTCCATTTGTTGACATAAAATAATGTTTTAGAAAAAGATCTTTCATTTTCAAGTAATATATATATACATATATATTATATTTTCGTTGACTTGTGAAAATCTTTTGCGATTCGTGAAATCTAAGAATTTTGATCCATGTACCTCACGTATGATCTCCTCCATATGCTTTAGGCACTGAATTAATTTATTAATAACAAACTTCTTTTTTACTACTACTATTATTATTATTATTTAGTTTCAGTTAGTATTTTATTACAATTCCATATTTAAATTATGTCATTAAGCAGACTAATCAATAATTCTACAATCATCAATCTCTTCTTTAAAAATACAATTTGTACTATAATTTATTAGCAGAACTAGTCATGTATGTAGCTTCTCTTTCCATAGATGTGAATTAATCTATCATTTTACTTTATTCTTTAATGGCTTATAAGTTATAATGACTTTTAATTATCGAGGCTCGGTTATTTGATAATTTTATTCGAATCTTATAATAGAATTTTAAAACATTGCTTAGGCAGAAGTGTAAAAATGAAGCATATACTATAGAGTTTGTATAAATTGGAATTCCCATATATTATTATTCTTATTATCATCTAATCGCTGAAAAGATATCTTCAGGGTTGGAATGACTATTATGACTGTTATTTGCTTTCTCTTTCAAGACCCTAATCACTCTAACCCAATTTGGAAGGTATAACGTGAACATCTAAGCTCCTGTGTAAAATATTTTTAAAAAAATATTTTTTATTTTATGGTATTTGATTATCGTATAATATTTACGAAAGAAAAAAATTATTAAAACTTAATGAAAATAATTTATTTATTAATTTTCTGTAAGTTATTTTTTACTTTTTAAAAAAAAAAAAATTAAAATAAAAGTTTACTGAGTTTTAATCTTTGTTTAATACTTTAAATTTTGACAAATAAGTTATAGAAATCATATTTAAATATAGGCATACAAAAATAGTAAAATAAATAAATGAGAAAATTTTTTAATTTTTTTTTTTTTTAGAATAGTTTTCTTTTTCCCATAATACATAAAACAAGAAAACAGCTCCTTGTTATATATTCATAAATATAAAAAATTGTTTTTCTATATTTACTTCTTTTTTAAATTTGAAATTTTTCTTTAATATAAAATAGAGTTTGCTTTATATATGTGTTTATGACATATTTAAACCAAAAAAAAAACATAAAAAAAGAACCGTGATAGACTCTCCAAATTCAGTGACAAAAAGAAAGAGATTGTGTGTCACGCCCCGCAAATTCTAACACAAGAACCATTGTCTTATACTAAAACTTGGTACGTGACTCACATCATTCATCCACCATAGTCCATGATTAAATCAATAAGAAAATATTTTTTACTCAAAAATCTAATAATCCAAATGAAATTTATTACATCTCCAACTAATTCAAAATTTCACCAACTAAGTGAATCTTATTACAAAGTATTCGCTAAGAAACAATAATAAAATCATAATGTAGAAATCCGGAAATTCCTTCTCTCACTGAGCCTCCTTTGCAAGCTAATCCATATGCACCTGAAAGTAATAAAGGGGTGAGCTCACAAGCTCAGCAAGAAATTGCTAAACACTATCATCGTTCAGTAAGCTAATCCTTACTTAAAATCCGTATATATATACATATATAAGTGACCGCGAAATATCTACTAATCATCGTCATTCTATAATATTAACTCAACTTGTGAACTTGTAACCCGTCTAGAATTTAAATTACTAAAATTCCCACTTACCTCACATGAGCCCCTGGCTCCCCTCAATCAGTTGGCGTTTTAATGCCATTACCTCACATGAGCCCCTGGCTCCACTCCGAATAAATGGTGTGCATTGCATAGTCCCTGACTACCAAATACACACATGTGGCTGGGTTGTATGTCTACTCACCCAGATGGCCCCTGACCACGTCCATATACTAAGGCACCTTTAGCCCCATGGCCATATCAAAAGAGTAATTTAACTCCTGTAGACAGTCACTGACTGCTCTCAACAAACTCATCATTGTATATGTCTCAGACTACTACTCCAACTAGCTTAATCACATCAATTAAACACTAAATATGTTTAAATAATTTCTACTCATAATATCATGAGTTTATCAACCACCTTAATTAATAATTAATTAATTAATTAGTATTAACATACCAGTTCCAACTTAATAGTCCTAATTATAAAAAATTGTAAACTTATATTCTAAATTTCAACCTCAATATCACTCCAATTGTTCTGCCATTAATTGTATATAATACTCCATAATAAACAGAACCAAATCCATGAATTCCACTCAAACATAACGACAAGTGTAACAATCTATTTCTTATTGTCGTACTACCTTACAGTTACTAATCGATTCCATTGTTTTGGATCATATTTGTATTCCCAAAGAAGTCCCTACTTCCCTTTAAGCTTCAATCTCAATCAAACTTAATATATATAGCACACGTGTATATATATAAGTGCATACCTTGGGACAATAATGCAAACCCAATAATTAACTTTAAGTGAGTGCACAACTTATCATCACTAAGTTCATTCTCTTATTATGTTATTTCCATACACAAAGGATATATTCTTACCCAGCATATCAGAACGTGAATAGTGTCAAACTCCACCAAATTTACTACATAAATAACACCCAAGTGGTGGACCCCACAAGAGCACATTTCCATTTCTTCTCCCCACCACAATTTCGGCTGCTAGCATGCATGTGCACCAATATATATATATATATATATATATATATATATATTATCAAAAACCAAATCAACCTCTTTAGACATTCATTTAAGTGGCACCCGCACAAGCCAAATTCAGTTTTCTCTTCATTCCACATTCCAGGCTTCTACGGATTCCTTGTCTTTTCTTTCATATTTCCTTTACTAAATTAGCACTAAAAAACAAAACTATCATTAACCCTAATTACTAAATTTCTTTTATAACCCAACAATCAATCAGTATAAATCTATGCTAATATGCACCTCCAAATAAACAAAAGAAATAATGAAATAGATATAATTTCTATTCAATCAATAATTCGTTGTATAATCCCCATATCACTAAAAAAATAAATATCATGAGTCCTACAATTAAATCATATCTAATAATCTAACCATTAATACATGAATAAATACAGAATTAGAAGCAGGAATTAACTTGCCTGACAATGGAATCTGCTTAAGCCTCTTCGTTACTCACAGAATAGTATTGTGCCTCTTCGTTACTCACAGAATAGTACTGCCCGTAAAAAAAATAATGTCGATACACCAAGTCTAGATATATATCTAGTAGTTGAGTTCTATATGGACTCTTAAAAAAAACAAAAAAAATCAACTAAACTGATAGCCTGATATCTCTCAAATTCCGTTATACGATAACCCTCATAATACCACATAGATATATATATTATATGGATAAACATGAATTCAAAAATTAAATATATATATATATACACACACACACCCACACAATATATATCTGGTTGTTACATTCTACCCTCCTTAATTGAAATATCGTCCTCGAAATTTACGTACCTTCATTTATGGTCCAACGACTCCGCCTTAGGATCCTCTTCAGGATCATCCTCTTCACTTTTCATTTCTTTGAGAAGAACTGGGTTTGCATTGGGTCCGTAAAATGGAGGCCAATCTCGTACACTAGATACCTTTCTCGGTTTGTACTTTGGAATAACACCTATTGGAATAGAACTTTTGATAACCATTCTTATCTTTTGAGTTCTCCCTCGCATACAAGCCGATAAATTGATCTTTTGCTCCTGTTTGTTCTCATTAATTTTCTTTCCAATCATCCTGATTCTAAAGTGCAATCAGATAAAAAAAAAAAAATAAATAAATAAATAAAAGTCCGTTTAACTTTTCCACTCCTAAAAAAAAAACCAATGGCAACCATCCAATAATAATCAATGAATTTACAAGACTTATAAATCCAAATTTTTTTCATGTCCAAATGTAAAGAACAAACCAAATGTTCAAAGATAAAAAAAAAATGCTTAGTAACCATTAATAGGTAACCA